TGCCCAGGTGCCAGTTCAGAAGGTTAAAGTCTGCCGCGCGCAGACCACGGGCCGACACGATCCGCACCTGGCTCCACATCGCCAGTTCTCTAAATTAGGGTTTAGGGTTTAGGGTTTAGGGTTTAGGGTTTAGGGTTTAGGGTTTAGGGTTCAGGGTTTAGGGTTTAGGGTTTAGGGTTTAGGGTTTAGGGTTTAGGGCTTAGGATCCCTTTTTGGGATCCCTTTTTGAAGGGTGCTGCCTCGCCATAGGTACCCAAAAAGGATTTTGGGTTTAGGGGGGGACCCCAGTTTAGGAAACTACATGTTGCAGCTCTTCGCTGCGCGCGGCGACAAGAAGGGGTTCAGAGGGTTTAGGGGGTTTCAGGTCTACTCGAAGGTTCATGGTACTTATGAGCCCAATGATAAGTGTACACATAACCCAATTACAACCATACGGGCCTTCGTGGAGAACTGTCTTCAGCAACTCAAACCCACAACCCGAAACATCCACCCTCGCGCCTAAGCCCTCAAAAAACCTCTAAACCGCAACCCTACACCCTAACACCTCAACCCTCAATCCCTAAACCCCTAAACCCTAAACCCTAAACCCTAAACCCTAACCCCCTGAACCCTAAACCCCGAGACCCTAAACTCAATTCGCCGCCAGGGGTACTCTGAGCCCTCCCCCTGCGGCGTGGGGTCGCTTGCCCAGTCGCCCAGACTCGCCTTAGGGCTTAGGGCTTAGGGCTTAGGGTTTAGGGTTTAGGGCTTAGGGCTTAGGGTTTAGGGTTTAGGGTTTAGGGTTTAGGGTTTAGGGTTTAGGGCTAGGGTTTAGGGCGGGGCTTCAGGGTTTAGGGTTTAGGGCTTAGGGCTTAGGGTTTCGGACTCTTGGGGCTCTAGGGTTTATGGTTTAGGGCTTTAAGGGCCTCGGGCTTCAGCTTTTGGGTTTTTGGGTTTAAGATGTCTGTAGGGTTTGCGGTTTAGGGTTTAGGGTTTAGGGTTTGGGGGGGTGGGGGGGTGTCCAGGCCGCGCACTGACGTCGCTTATCCACCCGCCCCGGCCACCCATTCAAAACGGGTTCCCAAACTCAAAACCCGAAACACTAAACCCAAGGGTAGACGCCCTCCAAGCCGGATTCTCAGAGGCTTGCAGGGGTGCGTTGGCTCAAGGCTCTGTATAGGGTTTAGGGTCTAGGGTTTAGGGTGTAGGGTTTAGGTTTCGCGTTTATGGTTTAGGGCTTGGGGTTGAGGGTTAACGTTGACGGCTTAAGGTACCTAGCTCCGTCTAGCGCCCCGGCCGAAATGCCTATGAAGAAGTCGTAAGTTTAGAGGCTTTTCTGGGCGCACCTAATCTTTGAGGCCTCCATCGCCTGAAATGCCCATGAACGCGTCTCAGAGGACCGTTTTTGGGTTTAGGGCTTAGGGCTCAGGGCTTAAGGTTTGCGGCTTAGGGTTTGGGGTTTAAGGTTTCGGGTTTTAGGTTTTGGGGTTTAGGGTTCAGGGTCAGGGCTTCTGGGCGGCGAAACGACACACTCTCGCAGTTCGGCTACATTCACAATTTCAGATGTGTTGGACCCCATACACCTGGTCATGAAGAATATTGATGGCTCAGGGTTTAGCATATTGTCCAGAGATGGTTTTTGCCACTAGAGAATGCCATCAGAGTTTGAGTAGTAATGCTCACGGGCTTGACCTTGACTGTCGAACTCTTGCTCCTATTGCTACTCTTCGAACTACAAACCCCTAAACCCTAAACCCTAAACCCTAAACCCTAAACCCTAAACCCTAAACCTGAAACTGCGAATTCAAGACAGACCCTGAGCATCCCTGAGCGATGGAGGTGATACGAGGTGCTGTGGCAGGCGCGCGATTTCCTCTCAAGGGCCTTCGCTAGTGACAGGAACAAGGCACAAGTACACGGCACCATGAGCCCTGAAGCTTAACCCTGCCCTGAACTCGAAATCCTGGTTGCGGGTTTCAGGGTTCAGGGTTTCAGGGTTCAGGGTTCAGGGTTCAGGGTTTAGGGTTTAGGGTTTAGGGTTTAGGGTTTAGGGCTTAGGGTTTTTTTTTCTCAAGGCCTTGCGCACTGTAAGAACGCGCGCTTTGGCGCCAGCTCGAAAGATGTTTCCCGCAACTGCTTGGCTATTTTAGCGTACTTGAATTGTGGTCCAAAGTAGGGTGTTGCGGTGTGGTCCGGCAGCCACTCTTCGGGGTAGTTATTCTTTGTTATTGTTTCTAACCAGTATGGAAACTGCATTCCTCTACGTCTGCCAGTAGCTAATATTCTGTCTTTATGGGCCGAGCAAAAGACTACGTTGTGAAAGGGCTCTTCACGGGGTGCGTTGAAGACTCTAACCATCATGCGATATTGCTGGTACGACAAGGTTTGTGAGGGGGTTTCTGGGTATTTAGCTTCCTGCCACACGGTGTGGTTGTCTATTCTGGAGTAGAAAGACGCCTTAATCCCGATGACTCTCCGAAGGAACCTGTAATAGAAGCCGTCAATCCTCTTAATCTGTTTGGGTGTTAGGGTGAGCGCGTCAATACCATAGAGCAGGATGGGTACAAAGGTTGCTTGGAAGATTCGTACTTTAATGCTTTTGGTGAGGTTTGAGTTCCAGACCAGTCTAAGCTTTTTAAATGCGACTCTGCCAAACCAGCTCTATGGTAGAAGGCCGTGGTAAAGGTGTCTTGCCAGGATACTAATGAACCCAGGTATTTAATTTGCGGTGTGGTCTTAACCTGGTCGCCGTTACTGAAAAATAGCTTGGGGCTGTCGCCTGGTGTGATCAACAGCTCTGTCTTATCGTGGTTGAGTCGCATTCCATACTCTGAGGCTACCTGTTCCACTGCTGACAACATTGCCTGTAACTGCGTTGTGGTTCTGCCCAGTAAAAGCGTGTCGTCAGCACATTCAATGTCGTATGTGGGGTATCCCTCGGACCATGTGTTGGTGGGCGTTCCCTGTGTTTGAAGCAGGGCATCTATATCCGCGAAAACTACCGTGAGTACGGCTACGAAGAGGTATGGACTAAGGGGGCAGCCCTGGCGTATACCTGAATGGACATTACCATGTGCAGTTCTACCATCTGGGCCTTTAGTCATGAAGGTAGGGTTCAGGTAGATGGATTCTACTGCAGCTAGCATCTTTGCCGAAAGACCAAACCTACGCAAGGCTGTTATCATGGCGGTGTGGTCCAGAGAATCGAACGCTTGTTTCCAGTCTAGTGACAGTACGTGAAGCGATTTGTTGGTCATAAGGGACCATTCCATTGCCCTTCTTAATATGAACAGTGGTTGTACTGTACCTCGCGCTGCGCGAAAACCATATTGGGAAGGTCTGAATTTCTGATCGAAAGTAGCGGCCATTCTAGACTGTAGCATTGCAGCGTAGACCTTATAAATGGTGTTTAGGAGAGATATGGGCCTGTAATTTGATGGGTCTGTATCCGCGGCTTTTCCTTTGTAAATGGAGACAACGATAGCCTCCGCCCATTCTTGCGGTACGGCGCCCTCCTGCCATGCCGTGTTGTAGAGGCTTAGTAAATCATCAAGATGTTCTTCGTCCAGGAGCATGAGCAATTCATTGGGTACTCTGTCTGGTCCGGCTGCTTTTCGGGCTTTTAGCTTTTGCAAGGCTGACTCTAAGTCAGGTCTAGTGAAATCTGGCTCGTCCGGCTGCTGTTCATTTAGGTTAGGTCTAGCGTCTCGAATTTGGGCGGTGTGGTCCGCTACGTGTGGTGTTTTCCACTGTATATTTTGCAGGCGGTCACTAAAAACCTCGTGGGTTTTGGACCAGGGCTGCGGTTTGCCATCCACCACTAAATGCTTCTTTGCTCCTTGAAAGCCTCGCTTTTGGTTGCGGGCTGTGCGCCAGTATGAGCCAGGGTCTTGAATGTCTTCTATGAGTTGCGAGTGGATGTGGCGTATACGGTCTCTTTTTGCCTCCCTTTTCGCTTTGTTGCGCAGCGGATTGCCTCGGTAGAGCATGTGTAGAAAGAGGATAGAAACCATGCCGCCCAGCGCAGTGGGAGTGAGGAGATAGAGCCTCGCGGCTGAGCATGCCTTGTCCCTCCTCTTCAGCATGTTGATCAGCTCTGTGGAAGATGTGCCGCTGACCGGTGATCTCTTCGCATGGCTACAGATCTCTGACCACGCCACGCCAGCGGAGACAGCATACGCTCCAAATGGACTGAGGCCCTTCGCTGCAGCTGCCAACCCCGATGTCCAGGAGGTTGAAAGGCAGGCTCCCAAGTCGGGGGGGACGTCATTCGTGTCTGACTGAATACGCGTTGCCCGCTTCAGGGACATGGGCATAACTGCGGAGGCGATCACCCAGTCTTTGGAATAGATCCACGCATCTTTTGCCCACCAAGTTTCGGACGGCTTCAGAGGCAGGCCAATGGTGGCGAACTCATCACTCAGTTGCCTGAAGAACGTCTCCAGCGAGTTTTGCAGGTATGCCGGGTGAGTGTGGAGCGCCGTTCTAGGATCTACCCCATCTGGGAGCCGAATGGAGAGCCGAACCGCTTGGTTGTCTCCCTGTCCTGTGAGTGAGGCTCGCCAGCGGAGCCTGTCGCAGATGCTCAGTATCACGGCGAATGTTGCAGTAGTCCATCCTTTTTGGCGCAGCCCTTCGACACCTCCGAAGTGGGATTCATACACGGTGTTCATGCCTTCATGGCTCGATCTTGCGCTGGAGTTGAGGTTTGGATCCGGGTGGTATCTGCTCGACAGGTAGAAGAGGGATGATTCGAAGAAAGTGTGCGTGAACTGGTACACTCCGTCCAGCCCAAAGTATCCATCGAGCCACTCCATGACGCCGTCGGCGTTGCTGGAGTTGAACCTCAGATTCCATTTTGAGAAGTCGAGATTGAACACGACGTCGAAGTACGTTGCCCCGGAAGAAGTGCCACTTGTCTGTTCCGCTGATTCCAATGACATGAGTCGTCGCGAAACCTTGGCTTCGGACGCGGTCATAGTTTGAAAGTCAAAGAACGGAAATAATTGATTGGCAATATTCTATTCCGTCAGGACAAAATAGGTTCGGAGCTCGAGTGTTAACATCCCATAACACCGTGGTGGGATAGCGAGTTCTCTTTCTTTTGTCCTCAGCCCGACCACGAAGTCATCTTTTGGCATCTCCCCGGTTGAGATTTTCCTGAGAATCTCCCTGGTGTTCAGGTTGCCCCGGGCGAGGTACTCGACCATCGTCCTCCTCGACGTGGTCTGGGCTGGAGGTTGGTAGCCAAGGAACTCGGATGAGTAGACGCAATCGAATTCCGATCTGCCGGGGCTCAGGGCAGTGTCAGATAGAAGAAGGGATGCATCATCAAAATAGTCGAAGTCAACTTGTTTCCCGAGCGTGATCTCTCCCCATTCGTCCAGCGATGGGCCCCTGTCTTGGATCAGGTTGAGGTTTGTCGTGTTGGTTTCTATCCACCTCTTCAGAACTTCGTTGCTCCCTGGGTGCTCGACGGGAGGCCATCTGCCATACCTCCGGATGTAGGACAGGCAGTAATACTTTGTAAGTGCTGCTGTGCTCCGTCTTGACACTTGCTTCATTGCTTCGACCTCCGCGGGTGACATTGTTGGCGGCGTGGCTATCTTTCTCACGTTGGCGATGGCTGCATCTTCGTCGATGGTCGGGAACCCAAACAGTCGATTCAGCCCGAAGATTTCACTGATCTCTGCTGGCGTCCTGCACTTTTCGACGATGTTTACCAGCTTCAGCAGTGCCCTCTGTGAGAACCCTGGGTCTGATTCATCAATGATCGGTGCTCCATCTACGCCGTTTGCAATGAATCGCTCTTTTCCAGGCAGCACATCGTAATCCCTGAGGTAAACCCCGACGCACACTGGCTCCAACTCTTTCACAACTTTGTAGCCGTCGTTCCCAGCGTGCTCCAGGATCTGGTCCCCCCATGAAAAGACGCTGTCGATTGTGCTAACATCAGGCATGAACGGAGACCCTTGTTGGCCGGACAAGGCTGTGAGGTACCTGGCCACCGCTCTTGCCACAGAGATATCGTGGATCATGAGGATCTGCTCGTTGCTGGCCAGCGTCCATTTCGCCCCCTGACCGCCGCGCGAGGTGTGTGTTCGCTTGTCGCGTATCACTGTGCATAACTGGCAGATGTAGAAGTCCAAGTGCTCCGTGATCACGGACTTGCATCCTCGCAGTGGGGACGATATTGTTCCAGCAATGGTGTCGACGACGGTCGTCCACATAGCTGAGGTTCTGAAGCTTTCACCAACGTGGGCTAGAGCCTGAGCAACATCCTCTTTGTTGGCCTCTGCTTCCATGGCTTTGAAGCTTGTGAACTCCGGATTCCTCTTGCTGAGGCCTTGTATCACCGATTCGGCGACTTCTGCCCCAGCCATCATCCCTTGCGACAATCTGGATATGGATTCGCCACTTCCCAGCTCCTGAGACCACGTGCTGGGTAGCTGTTGGGCTCAAGCAAGGAAGGTGAGCTTCCTCACGGTTTTGGCTTGCAACTTCATCTTCAGCGCCTCGCAAGTCTCTTGCATTCCCCTGTCGAGCTTTGCTGGACATCCGGCCTGATAGCTGTCTGGAGATGTCTGTCGGAAGCAGACGGAAGGGCACCCGACTCATCGTAGATGTCTTCCATAGACGCTCGGAAGTGTTACTGCAGATTGCAGCTTGCTTCCTTGAGCCAAAATGGCGCTTAGGGTTTAGGGTTTAGGGTTTAGGGTTTAGGGTTTAGGGTTTAGGCCCACGAACCCTCAGACCTATGTAAGGCAACCTGTTGGGGTTTAGGGTTTTAGGGTTTAGGGGGCTTTACACGTTGGGTAAGGATGCTTGAAGCGTGGAGGTCGTACGATCCCATAAGGAAAACGTGGCTTTATGATCCGGGGACATCGGCCTAGGATTTTGAACTCCCGAACGAGGAGTCCCGCAGCATCTCTGCCTTCAACCCTAAACCCTAAACCCTAAACCCTAAACCCTAAACCCTAAACCCTACCCTGAACCCTGAAACCCGCAACCAGGATTTTGAACCCGCAACCAGGATTTAGAGTTCAGGGCAGGGTTTAGGCTTTAGGGCTCATAGTGTAGGATTTGAGGCATCAGCCCTAAACATCCTTGGAAGGTTTCCCCTTATACTAACAAGTCTTGAATAGAGATTGTACTATAATCCCTGTTCAGGACTGTTAGTATAGGCAGGGAACATCCCAACCCCATCCTTTTAGGTGTACCGATATCCTTGCATCACCCTCTTTCTCAGAAGAAAGCCTGTGCTTAAGCCCCAAACATGCCCGGTTTACGGTTTAGGGTTTAGGGTTTAGGGTTTAGGTCTAGAGGGTCACTGTTCTAGCATTCATCGTCATTAGGAGGTTCCAGGCTCAGAAAAAAAGAACCACCCGCCCAAAAAATCCCATAACATTAAGAAAATAAAAGGTTTCCATCCTGTAGGGAATCGCCCGAACATTGGGGTCAGATTGGCCGAAATCGCCCGAACATTGGGGTCAGATTGGTCGAAATCGCCCGAACATTGGGGGCCCCAATGTTCGTGGCTTTTCGACCTGGTCGAAATCGCCCGAACATTGGGGTCAGATTGGTCGGAATCGCCCGAACATTGGGGTCAGATTGGTCGAAATCGCCCGAACATTGGGGTCAGATTGGTCGAAATCGCCCGAACATTGGGGGCCCCAATGTTCGTGGCTTTTCGACCTAGGGTTTAGAGTTTAAACCCCTCCCTCCCCCGCAGCCACAAAAAACAACAACAATCCTCCAAGACCCCCCCCCCCCCCCCCCCCCCCCCCCCCCCAAACCCAGACCCTAAATCCCCGTAAACCCTAAACCCTAAACCCTAAACCCTCAACCCTCAACCCTGAACCCTAAACCTGAACCGTACACCCGCAGCAGGAACTGAGAGCCCATCCTCCGCCTGCGCACGGAGATGGGCGGCCTGTAGCGCCTTGGGGGCCAAAGACTCCAGGAACCCGAAATCAAGGCATTGCAGAGCTTGCAGGTTTGCGGTTTAGGGTTTAGGGTTTGGGGTTTAGGGTTTAGGGTTTAGGGTTTAGGGTTTAGGGTTTAGGGTTTAGGGTTTAGGGTTTAGGGTTTAGGGTTTAGGGTTTAGGGTTTAGGGTTTGGCACTGTTGCTTCAATGTTTTGGGCGCAATCGGAAACGAAGCTGCCAGGAGGGTCATCGCATGGGAAATCAAACCCTAACCGGGAACCCCAAACCCTTAAGCCCCGGGACTGATCGCTGCGGGCGCACTGGGCCATCCGAATCACATGCTCGGCCCTACCGCGACCCACTCCCCGGACGAGGGGTGGCCCCTAGAGAAGTACCGGGATCGGAACCCTAAACCCGAAACATCCTGAACTCTAAAACCCCCAAACCCTGCATCTCGCAAACCACTGCCGCGCAGGGCACCAGCTGCTCCGCCTCCCTCTTCTTGCCGTTGACATTCTTCAGCATCCCGGATTGCGTGGTCATCTGAGCTGCATTGGGGCTCAGGATGTAGGGTGCAAAATTGGGCGATTGCGAGGTCATCTGAGCTGCATTTATGCCTCAGAGTGTAGGGCCTTTGGGGTTTAGGGCTTGAGGGGAATTTGATACAAGCGCGAGTTTAACCGGGGTGTTGAGGTTTAGGGGCTAATCCGAGCATCAGTTTAATTAATACCCCCACATTTAAAGAAATTTTTTTTGGCCGGAAGCCCGCCGGAAGACTACTTTCCATTAGGGTGGATTTCGCATGGGACAAACCCCCCACATTTAAAGGATTTTTTTTTTTTTTTTTGGGGGGGGGGGGGGGGCGGGTTGCAAAATTTCGAAACTAAAGCTTTTTTGTTTTAATAGACACATTCTATACATTCCTATTGTTTTCAATACATTCGTATTGTTTTTAATAGAGAATCAATACAGGGCCACGGTCCAACTATTGCGGAACCCTGCATTCCTTATTGTGGGGGGGGGGGCCCCCCACCAATTAAACAGAAGCTCGGATTAGGGATTAGGACCAAGGTCGTCAAGAATGCCGGGCAGTGAGTTCTTGGCCTGTACGAAGAAGAATAATACATCCACCGTTCTTTCTGTTGCTTTGCTCTGTGCCTGCCATTGCTGCTGCGTCTTTCTCATTTGACCCCACGTCTAGCCAAGAAGAAAATCGTAGGAACAACGGGTCATGGCGCACGCCATGCGCCATGCCAGGAATCCCCCCGAATCCTGCCCAAATGAGCATCTCCCAAAACAGGGGCTCCCCCTCGTTTACGCACAGATGTCTTCACCCCGAAGCCCGAATCCCTTATTCTACGAAGCCTCACTTGTTCCCGGTTACCCTAAACCCTAAACCCTAAACCCTAAACCCTAAACCCTAAACCCTACAAATTGCAGGCCAAGGATCTTTCTTGGGTATCATGTTGTTGATGTGCCAAAGCTGAAGCTGCCCTCGCACGTTTAGGATTCAGGGTTTCGGGTTCAGGGTTCAGGGTTCAGGGTTCAGGGTTCAGGGTTCAGGGTTCAGGGTTCCGGGTTCAGGGTTCAGGGTTTAGGGTTTAGGGTTTAGGGTTTAGGGGGCTTCAGGAAATAGGGGGCTTCAGGAAGTCAAATATGATAAGACCCCCGCCGTGCCCTCACTCCCTACGAGCCACCACGAAGATCCGCCGCTAAACCTCCCCAAGGACAACAGGGCAAACTCAGTGCTTGCCCGAAGATGAACGCCGAGCTACTTAAGCTTGCAATGTGGGGCTGCTAGGAGAGGGACCCTGGCGCTGAACCCAAAACCCCCCCCCCCCCCGCACTTAAACCCCTGGCCGCCGTATTGTGCCGCGAGTTTTTGGCCCCTCATGCAAACCAGCTGTTGGTTAAGGGTTCAACACTCCGGGGACAGGATGGCATTCGGAGCTTCGGCCATGTCACCCGTGAAGCGCGGGCACGCAGCACCAGTCCAGTTTGTCAGCTCCTCTGTCAGTTTGAAGTTTTCGGGTTATATGATCTTCACAGTAAAACAAATTAATGATTATACTCATACAAGAATATACACATAAATATACATACATATATATATATGTATTTATACTATACCCTTTTTGAAGGGTTAACTCGGGCTTGCAGGCGGTAGATGGTTTTGACACTTTGGCCTGTGGACCGTTCTTGACGCTCGGCATGGCCTCTGTCCGCCAAACCTTGAATCCGAGCCCTTCGCTGGGGCTAAGGTTTAGAGTTTAGGGTTTAGGGTGTAGGGTTCAGGGTTTAGGGTTTAAGGTTTAGAGTTTAGGGTTTAGGGTGTAGGGTTCAGGGTTTAGGGTTCATGGCTGAAGGGGCAATGAGTTGACTTATCAGGTGTTGAGGGGCAAGTTCGAGAAACATGCCGTGCCTCTTCATCTAGTCAGGTCTCTACAACATAGCTCCTTCTTGCATGTTACATGCGGAAACCCGTAACACTAAACACTAAACCTTGAGGACATATGACCGAGCGTCTTCAGGTCCCGGGTAGGCCCGGGCACTATCCGGGCTCAACCGTTGACCCCTAATACGATTTACAACAAACATTATAAATGCAGATATATATATATATATATACAGAAATATATATATATATATAATTTGGATTGCATATTTACAAATAATTACATAAGTAAGTAGCATACAAATAACATATACATGAAGAAATAAATGAAGAGCTACATGTCAAGAGTAACATAAAGATGAAGACAAACTGAAATGTGAATAAGCATAATCAGTAAGTCACATAGACATAAATAGACATACAAACAACATACATCAACATAACATACATACATAAGACACATGCAGATATAGTATAGATATACCTGTTCATATTACATATGTACATATATGTTTATCTATTTATTTACTTATTTATGTATATATGCATATACAAGTAGAGCTTATAGCAAGCACACACTCCAGCAACCTTTGTAAGGGGGCTTGATTCTATTTAGGTTCATGTATTACACAAACCCAAGACCAACTGCGTGTCCTCATTGTTGAACTCCATGACCAGGTCATGCTGCAGGAGCACAGAGTTCAACTAAGCTGAAGCGCAGTCCAGATTCCAAGGTTTGTACTGCAGGAGCCTCAATCATTAGAACAGGGTTTTGGGGGGGGGGGGGGTTCTTCTAGTATGAGTACAAAGAGACCATATTGGGGATGAAGAAACGTTGAGGAACCCGAGATGTGAGAGCCGCTAATGAGCCTCCGAGCTGCTTCCATCGTGACTTCACCTGCGCTTTCGGTTCGGAGCTTGGGGCTGAACGTTTCGGGTTTAGGGTTTAGGGTTTAGGGTTTAGGGTTTAGGGTTTAGGGTTTAGGGTTTAGGGTTTAGGAGTGCAAAGTTCACGGGTTGGCCTGTGGGCTTAAAGTCTAGGAGTCTAGGAACTATCGTGGACCTTTCACCGAAAAGAGTGGCGAAATCCAAAATTGTTTTTGAAGAAATTTTGGATTTCGCAGTCCATCACTGAACCTTTCTCCATGAAAGAGCCAACTGCGTTGCGTAGGATGCTGAACGACGGAGGTGTTGATGCATCGACCGGTGTCTTCTGATAGAAACCATTGGTGCGAGCGGACTCTAGGAAGCAGAGGATTTCAAGAATAAGCCATGAAGTCGTGAACGGCTACCTCCGTGCAACCAACCTCAAGCCCCAACCATGAAACCCGAATCCTCAACCCTAAACCCTAAACCCTGAGCCACAAACCCTAAACCCCCTGAAACTCTGAACCTTAACCAGTCATACTCGCACCCCTCAGGATGTACCTTACACTAAGAGGTTCCCTTAGTATACTCCTACTCTGGCCCTTTTACTCCCTTAGCCAACCCTACACCCTAAACCCAAAACCCGGCCTATGCGCGCTTCTTCCTCCGGCTTGTAGTCTGCGGACGAGAAGAAGGAAATGTGGACCTGCCAGCTACACAACCCTTAAACCCCGCACTCGGGGTTTTGGGTTGAGGTTTAGGACTCAGGGTCTTGGGGTTCGGGGGCAGCCTAGTGAAACAAGGACTCACCCCTAAGCTCCCAACCCTAAACTCTCAGTCTCAGACGCTCGACCCCAAAAGTTTTAAACCCTAAACTCTCCACCCTAAGCTCAAAACCCTAGACGTGGGATGTTCCCCCTTATACTACCAGTCCTTAATAGGGATTATCTTACCCCCTATGATCGTCCCTATTTTGGACTGTTAATACAAGGGGAAAACCTCCCAAAGGGTTGCTTTTAGGGTTTTTCTCAGGGTGGCTTTAGGGGTTTCTCGGGTTGCTCTAGGGTTTTTTTGGGGGTGGCTTTAGGGCTTTTTGGGGGCGGCTTTTATTGTAGGGTTTATAGGGTTTGAAAGCATATATAGGGCTTCAAGCTCAACATTCCCGAAGCGCATGGTTTAGGGCTTAGGGCTTCGAAAGCCCTTGAAACAAAATCTAACCCACAAGAAACGCCATCCTCAACTCCAGCCCCAAGAAGCTACTCGTTCAAAGAAAACACGCGAGGCTTTTGAAAAGAACCGACGGCAGTCACGAGGATGGCGAAGCCAGGGCCCCGTCCGCGCAACCGTCGGCACTTTCCGAACGCGAAAAAGACGCGAGGCTCCGAAAGTGACGACCGCTTCGAAGCTATGGGGATGGCCAACGGTGGTAAATGGGGAGGGGGGGATACTCTTTGGGGGTGGGGGGGGGATGTAGGGCCCGGGCCCCGCCAAGGATCACACGCACCCACCATTGTTTAGAACGAACCTAATATTACACTCACTAACAGCATCCAAAAAAGAATAAACAAAATCATCTCCTCAGAGATGCCACCCCTGCGCTCCTTGGCTGTTCGTGCGTTGCGCACGAAGAACCGGAAGCTTTGCTCAAAGGTCGCCTGAGCGCGTGGGATGCCGGATCCTCAAGGGGCCATGGAGGAGGAAACACCCTACATCCGCCTACATGCCTGATACAGGGGCCTGAGTAATCAGAATAGGTTTTTTTTGGGGGAGGGGGGGGGGGGGTGATTATAGTATACTTACAAAGGGACCATAAGGGAATGCTATTAGGAATTATTCCGACCCCTATATTAGCTTCTCGGACTTGGGCTGGCTCGTGGGTGGAATCAGCCGGATGCTCTCTCCATTGTTGCAATCCTCACACGCCGGACTTTTCAGTCATTCTCGACCGGTTGGCCCCAAGCCCGAAAGCTCGAACTCACACCCTAAACCCTAAACCCTAAACCCTACACCCGAAGTCCGAAAACCAAGGCGAGCTGCATACTTCGTGGCCTGACCCAGCATGCCATCGCTCATCCTCCGGCTCAACAAAAGCAGCTCGAACTTGGGCTCGCGGTCTACTTGGAGGTTCTAGGGTTCAGGGTTTAGGGTGTAGGGTTTAGGGGGTTACTTGCAGGTTCATGGTACTTACAGCCCGGTCATAGTTGGGTTATCCGCCGACCCCAGCTGGAGCGGGGGCGGCGTCAGTGAAGACCCATCGTTGTCCGCTCCCCCGCCCAGTGCCCGTTCCCCCCCCCCCACACCAGCCCCTGACCTGGCGCCCGCTGCCCAGCTCGCATCATGGCCGCCGTGCCCCCAGCCCCCATGGCCCCATGGCTCATGGTCCCATGGCCCCATTGCCCATAAGCTGACTTTTAAGGTCAAGGGGGCCAAGGGAAGGCGTCGCAGCTCATCTCAAGACCCCTAAAAACCTAAAACCCCTAAGAACCCCCTTTAAAAAATCCCCCACAAAACCCTTAAAGCCCTAAAGCTGGAGAAACCCTCACTAAAACCCCCTTAAATTTAAAAAAAAAAAAAAAAAAAAAACGTAAAACTCTACAAACCCTAAACCCCCAAACACCCCAAATCCTCAATCCTAATTCGAATAATCCCGCTCCTGCTGATCGTCTCAGAGCTCTGCCTTTGCACAAGGGATTTAGGGGTTTAGGGTTCAGGGTTTAGGGTTTGGGGTTTAGGGTTTCGGGTTTACGTTTTAGGGTTTCATAGGAGACAAGAGACGGGAGCGAGCGAAAACAAACAGATGCGAGGAGGCCGGGAACGTGCAGGAAACACCCTCTGCTGCACGCTCGGCAGGAGCGGCTGCGCAACATACCTGTTTGAGGTTTAGAACCCAAATTTCGCCTTAATCTCTCTTTGTCGTCTACCTTGAACACCCTCGCTTTGGAACGCGGCGACGCTCCAAGCAATCATCTGTACAATTATCGGTAGTGTACACCATGCATAAAACGCATCTTGCAGCAGTCCTGCGCAGACGGGCTTAGGCACCCAAGTCGGTGAGACGACTCCCATCTTGGAACCCACTGCTTGCCCTAGAGGGCCCAAGGGCCAATGCTTTAGAATCTCTACCCATAAAAACATAATTGCCAAAATCCAAAAAAGCCTTGATAGCTTAGGGTTTAGGGATTAGCCTCTGGGATGTTTCAAGCTGCTCCAGAATCCCGGGTACTACTACCCAAACCCGATCCCTCCTAGCCTAGCCCTACAGTACCCCCAACCCAGGTACCCTGCCCTAAACCCTCAACCCTAAACCCTTTTTTACACTTGGACCCTAGCTCGCTGAAGGCCCCGCCCCGACATCAGTGGGGGTTTACGTAGAGTGACTACAGCTCCTTATGACGGGGGACTGATAGCCCTACCTACAACCCTAAGCCCTCAACCCTAAACCCTCAACCCTAAACCCTAAACCCTGAACCCTAAACCCTAAGCCCTCAACCCTTAACCCTAAGCCCTAAGCCCTAAGCCGAAATGCCGCCCAAGGCACGCGACCTTGTGCGCGGCCGCCACGACTCGGTCCGTGGTCCGCTGCGAGGTGCCCTCCTCTTTGGCGTCTTCGGCTTTGAGGGTTTAGGGTTTAGGGCTTAGGGCTTAGGGTTTCGGGTTTAGGGCTTAGGGCTTGCGGTGATATGGCGCAGCTCAATACCGCCCTACCTATTGCTTTCAAGGTTTAAGTCTAAACTCCATGCATTGCTTCGTCTGTCCAGAATGTGAAGGGCTTCCTTCACAAGATATAGCCTCTGTCCTAGGATTCAGACAAACGAGCCGATTCCATCCAGAGTTATACGCAGATTTTGATGGCAGAAAAAACCCCATGACGTTCCAGAATTTTGTGGCTTCGACGAAGACTTGTTAGGAGGGTCCCGGAAATTTCGTTCGTTGACAGCGGAAGGCGTATCTTAGGGGGGTCGCAGGCGAGGGTCCCAGGGTCCAAGATCTCATGTAGAGTTTAGGGTTCAGGGTTTAGGGTTTAGGGTTTAGGGTCTAGGGTTTAGGGTTTAGGGTTTAGGGTTTAGGGTTTCGCGTTTAGGGTTGAGGGTTTAGCGTTTAGGTTTTAGGGTTAAGGCACTGAACTGGCCCAAACACCCCCGGGTCTCTGGGCTTGCGGCCTAAGCCTTGAGTTTAGGGTTTAGGGTTTAGAGTGTCGGGTTTAAGGTTTAGGGTTCAGACTGGAAAGCTTGAAAGTTTGAGGATTGGGTTGAGGCTTTCGGGTGTAGGCCTGATTCTTTGGGGTGATCTTGTGCTTTTCGAGGACTAGGGAGCTTTCTCAGCCCAGGGTCTCAAAGCAGATCTTGGGCCGACAAATCGTGAGGGTTTGGGGCTTAGGTTCCAGCACGAATTTACAAAAGGAAAGGGTGATGGACTTGTTTCCCTAAAACCTATGCAGTCAACCCTAAGCCCTAAATAACCCCAAACCTGAATTAAACGCGAAACCCGAAACTTCTTACTTCACTTCCCCGAACAGCAACCAGCAACCTGCAAAGTTCTACTTCAGGTCGGCTTTAGGGGCTTTAATTGGGGGCTTGAGGCTTCTAAAGGGTGGGATTAGTTGAGGGTTTAGTTTATTGATGAGGGTCTTAGAGCCTTTAGGGTTTGGGGTCTAGGTTTTTGGGCTTAGGGTTTGAGGGCTCAGCATCCAAAACCAGATGAAGCTCGCTCCATCCGACATGGGTTCAACCACGATCCGCACCAGTCAAAAATCCGTCCACAGCTCAGCCCTAAACCCTAAAACCCTAAAACCCTATACCCTAAGTCCTAAACCCTAAACCCTACAAAAATCCCTGAAAACTCCCAACAAGCCCCAGAAAAGACCCTGAACCCGTTCGTCCTGGGGCTCTTTGCAGGCCCCCCTAAACCCCAAACCCTAAACCCTAAACCCCAAACCCGAAACTCCAAACCCTAAACCCCAAACCCTAAACCCCGAACCCCCCTTCGTCCTGGGGCTCTTTGCAGGGTTGACCTGTTGGCTCAAGCCCTGGCATGATGGTACAGCGCCCGAAGAACCTCACACGGGGCGTAGGGCACTAAGTAGGGGCTTCGGGTTTAGGGTTTAGGGTTTAGGGTCTAGGGTTTTGGGTTTTGGGTTTAGGGTTTAGGGTTTAGGGTTTAGGGTTTAGGGTTTAGGGTTTAGGGTTTAGGGTTTAGGGTTTAGGGTTTAGTTCCCCCTTGTACAAACAGTCCTTGGTAGGGCTTATAATGGGGGGTGTTTACCGATAATCCCTATGAAGGACTGTTAGTATAAGCGGAACATCCCAACTCACACTGGACATACTTAGAGGATCTAGGGGTTATACAGTTGTACATACCTTAGTTGGGCTTGTAAGTAAACCCTAAACCCTAAACCCTACACCCTAAACCCTAAACCCTAAACCCTAAACCCTAAACCCTAAACCCTAAACCCAAAGAGCCCTTACTTAGCTAAGTCCCCTGACCCCTTCAGTCTGGCAAGTTGGGCACTTTATTGACATCGGAGGGTTTGCAGGTTCCTAGGTAGGATAAGGGGGGGCCCTTAAAAGGGAAGCCTTCTGAACCCTCTTCTGGCTCTCTTAAACAGGGACCTTATTCAGAGTCTATATCCCCAAGGGTCCGTCCCCCTAATCCCTAAACCCTAAACGCTAAACCCTAAACCCTAAACCCTAAACCCTAAACCCTATCCCCTTTACAGGGTCAGGACTCAGAGTGCGGAGCCCTGGGTGAGTGCCGGGTTCAGGGTGTGGTAGGGTGTGGCGCTGGCCGTCAGGAGTTTGGGGATGTTCCAGGTTTTGGGGGTTCAGGGTTTAGGGTTTAGGGTTTGGGGTTTTGGGGTTTGGGGTTTCGGGTTTAGGGTTTAGGGTTTGGGGTTTGGGGTTTGGGGTTTAGGGGCTCCGTTTAGACCGGACACCCTCAAAATCAAAAGGGACCGTCATTTGGGACATTTCTCCTATGTTACAATGTGAGGCGACTAGAAAATCAACGTCGGGGTGAAGCAGGGCCCCCCCGAAACAAGACAAGGACGCAGTTGAACCTGGCCACCTACTCTCAAACCCTGAGCTCCTAGACCATGCATCCTTCATCGGGATTCAGGGCCGTTATTCAGGGGGGAAGGTCTTCTTTTACTTATCAGGGCCACCCTGGCAGAGACGTTCTTGAAGTAGGGCTCAAAAAATAAGGGGGCTCAGGTTGAGAACAGCCTCAGAAACGCCAAGAAAAACCAAAGCCCCAAAACCCCAAGGGATTAGGGTTTAGGGTTTGGGGTTTAGGGCAAAGGGTAAAGGGTTAAAACTCCAAAGCCCAAAAACCCCAAAACCCCAAAAGCCCCACTTCCCCAAGACATCCAAACCTGCCCTTGGCCCCAGCAAATGGGGGTTTACGAACATAAGCGGGCCCCGAAAATAGACCCCCAAATAGTCGGATTCCCTTCTGAGAAGGACCCCAATACGGTACCCCTAATTCGGAACCCTAAACCCGGAACCCCAAACCCTAAACCCTAAACCCTAAACCCTAAACCCTCCCATACCCCTAATTTCGGAAACCAACAAACCCGGCCGGGGCGCTGGTCGCTTCTGCGGCCTGTGAAGTGGCCTCTGCGAGCTTCAGGTTGAAGGGAGATCGGGGATCAGAGGGTAGAGGGTTTAGGGTTTGGGGTTTAGGGTTTAGGGTTTAGGGTTTGGGGTTTAGGGTTTAGGGTTTAGGGTTTTCGGGTTAGGGTTGAGGGTTTGGGCTTTTGGGTTTAGGGTTTCGGGTTTCGGGTTTGCCTCGGGGGGTGTCATTGTTGACCAGATGTGGGGTGCGACAGTCGCGGTGTCTTCGCCCCAAGCAGCGCGAAGCCCGAAACCCTGAAACAGGATGGGAAAGAGAACCCCAACACAAAACCTTACGCCTGCAACGGCAGAGTGCAGAAAGGTTTCGGGCCAAGGTCAGGAGCACTCAACCCCCGAACCCCAAAGACAAGCTTAGGGTCTGGGGTTCAGGTCTAGGGTTTTCAGTTGGGATGTTTCCCCTTATACTAAACAGTCCATAGGGATTATACCCAAGTTTGCTTTCAGTTCAGAGATCAGCATCGAGGCCGAGTGACGCATCTCCAGATGCTGCAGCCCCACCCGCAGCACGAACACCGGCCAACGGACCTCCGGACTGGCCCCCGACTGAGGGTCGAGCGTTTAGGGTTTAGGGTTTAGGGCTTAGGGTTTAGGGTTTAGGGTTTAGGGTTTAGGGTTTAGGGTTTAGGGTTTAGGGTTTAGGGTTGGGGGTTTAAGGTCTAGGGGAATATCGGGTTCAGAGTTTGGGCCTGCAGGGCGAGGTACAATGACCACCTTGGGATATGCCGGCAGGTGTAGTGAGGACGAAGCATCGACCGGCCCTGGGCTTCCAAATCATGAAAAGGGTTTAGGGTTTAGGGTTTAGGGTTTAGGGTTTAGGGTTTAGGGTTTAGGGTTTAGGGTTTAGGGTTTAGGGTTTAGGGTTTAGGGTTTAGGGAGGCCCGAAACCCCAAAAAGGAAGCAGCGCCTCGTCGTCCTCGTCCTCGCCCGAGCTCGAGCTCGAGTCATTCTCGTCAAGGAAGACATCCTTGCAAGGCAGGTCAACCCTAAACGCTAAACCTTGGCTGGAGGTTCGTACAACACCTAAACCCTAAACCCTAAACCCTACAACCCTACAACCCTACAACCCTACAACCCTAAATCCCTTGCGCCTTCAAGCATAATCGGGCAAGCGGCCGGAGGCAGCTGAGCCGCATAGGTGTGGGAGATGGGCCTCCAGTGCAGACCTGGGCCGCGCGACTGAAGTTGCCACGAAGCTCCAGGTGTAGGGCTTGGGGCTTAGGGCTTAGGGTTAGGGTTGAGGGTTTAGGGTTTAGGGTTTAGGGTTCAGGGTATAGGGTTTAGGGTTTAGGGTTTAGGGTTTAGGGTCTAGGGTCTAGGGTCTAGGGTCTAGGGTCTAGGGTCTAGGGTTTAGGGTTTAGGGTTTAGGGTTTAGGGTTTAGGGCTTAGGGTTTAGGGTTTAGGGTTTAGGGTTTAGGGTTTAGGGTCTAGGGTTTAGGGTTTAGGGTTTAGGGTTTAGGGTTTAGGGTTTAGGGTTTAGGGTTTAGGGTTTAGGGTTTAGGGTTTAGGGTTTAGGGGTAGGGTTTAGGGTTTAGGGTTTAGGGTTTAGGGTTTAGGGTTTAGGGTTTAGGGTTTAGGGTTTAGGGTTTAGGGTTTAGGGTTTAGGGTTTAGGGTTTAGGGTTTAGGGTTTAGGGTTTCGGGCTCGGCGGGTGCTAAGAGCACCCCGGCGTGCCCTGAAATGCACCTAGCCTCTTCGGGTCTAGACTGTCCTTGAATTCAGATCGTGCGCTTGCTGTTTCAGTTCGTGTCTGAGCTCGGGGAGTGACTGTGCAGCAGGCTAGGGGCTTTACACAACACATCAGGATGCAGCTGGGGCCTACTTGGAGGTTCATGGTACTTCAAGTGCCCCAATATAGCTCTTGTTGGGTTATAAGTACGGTTATAATTGGGTTATTAAGCACCGTGAACCTCCAATTAACCCCCTAAACCCTAAACCCTAAACCCTAAACCCCAAACCCTAAACCCTAAACCTGGATTGCTACCGGGGGGGGTGGGGCCTTTGGTGGAGGCAAGGGGCCAACCGCGACCTTCGCCTTCGTGGCCCGCATCTGATCCGAGTCTTCGTGCTCTTCTTTGCCTTTCCAGCTTGGGGCTTGGAAATGTATAGGGTTTAGGGTGTGTTTAGCGTGGGTTTAGGGGTTAGGGTTTAGGGTTTAGGGTTTCGGGTTCAGGGTTCAGGGCTTAGGGTTTGAATGTTTTCGATTTGGGGGCTGCATGTTGGCTGTTGGTAAAAAGAATTGCTTCGGCCCCCGGGCGTGGGCTTCAGAAGTTCCCATACCGGAAGCGTCTAGGGATTCTGAGGGGATAGTATTGGTGATCACCCTGAATTGGAGGATCGGGGCACTTAGCAAGTAATTAGGGTGATAAGTACCTTGATTCGGGCTATACGTCATAAGTAGTTAAAAGTATAGCATAGCCACCCTGCTTGTCACCCACTTAGAAAGTCCCCTGATCCTCTAAGTACGTGAGCCCCGCACCCAAAAACTGACCCCAAAAACAACCCGAAACCCTGGGAACAGGGGGCCTGCCCAATGCTGGTCTAGCTCACAGGTGCGCTCCACCTCGCGCTCGCGATCCTGGGGGGGCTCTTGTGGCTTCGGGAGCGAAGTTGCAGGCTGAGGGGATTTAGGGCTCACGGCGTCTACTGATATTGGGTTTAGGCGCTCCGTCAGCAGATGCGGATGCCATTGATTCTAAGATTCCTTTTTGGGCAACGTCCCCAAATGGGTGCTTTCTGCATGCAGCTTGGCCATCATCACGAGCGGCCGGCCCCCACGGCACCCGGCACCATGAAGCCCCTGAACAGTAATCCCTGAATCCTTAAACCCTAAACCACTAAACCCTGACCCCTAAGCCCGAACCACTGAACCCGAAGAAATCGAATATCACCCCTCCGGTCCTTGCCAGCATGGACTTAACTTTGCGTTTAGGGCTGAAGGCCTCGGAACCCACATCCCGCCTGAGAACGACGCCCCTGGAAACCAATGGAGGTTGTTCAAAAAAATTGGGTCCCATGACAAGTAGCTTTTAGGAACTGCAATCCCTACAGACAGGTGATGCCGAGCTACGAAGAAATCCAGGGAGTTGACGTGGAAAAGGTCCAGAACGCCTCAGCTCACGTCGAAGTCAGGAAGGAACCGATGTTGAGAAACTACGGAAAAGTGCACTGTGGGGGACGGTTCATAAAAGTCAGGGAGCACTCAGACTTGTTTTCAATTATCTTGGGGGTGTGATCTGATGTGCGGATCCATGGCTACTGCGGAATGGCGCAGGAAGATGCTCGAAAGTATGCAACACTGTGAACCCCAAATGGGGGCCAACAGCTGAGAGACTCCAAGACAACCCTGAACCGCAAACCCTCAACTTCAGGAGCACTGCTCTAAATTCTATTGAGGGCCTCGAAGCATGCTAGACCTCTACCGTAGGGGTCGAAATAATTACGAATAGTATTCCCTTATGGTCGCGAAAAAAAACATACTCTAGCAACATGATTGAGGCCCCCTCTACCCCTAGGCCCTAGCCCTAAACCCTAAACCCTCAACCCTACTCGAATTATTCAGGCCCGTATACTCACCCTCTTGGGGCGCATGACAAGCCACGCACTCCCAGCTTCCTTGCCATCTCATCTTGTTTGCTGGCCACGCCTTTGACTAACGCTTCTGGGAGTCCGAAGAAGAAAACATCCAAACCCTATACAACCACCGCCACCTTATCACCCTAAACCCTAAACCCTGAACCCTAAACCACCCTGAACCCTAAACTCTAAACCCTAAAGCCCTCAACCCGAAACCGCACATGGTGAAACAGCCGGGAACTTCCGGGTTGGATGTGGCTTTTGGGTAGGGAACCGCTTTGGGTGGGGAGGGGAGAGCACGAAGGGTTTGGGGCCTTAGCGTTCCTGAGGTTGTTCAAGGGCTTCTTGTCTGGGCTTAGGGTTTAGGGTTTGGGGCTTAGGGGTTGGGGTTTAGGGTTTGGGGTTTAGGGTTTGGGGGTTCAGGGATTTGGGGGTTTAGCGCAACCCCCCTAAGAGCAACATTTAGTTCACAGGAGCTTTGGAAGGCTGGGAAGGCGAACCCTGAAACCCGGGGCGGGTTTAGGGTTGAGGGTTTAGGGTTGAGGGTTTAGGGTTTAGGGTTTAGGGTTGAGGGTTTAGGGTTGAGGCTTTAGGGTTGAGGGTGTAGGGTTTAGGGTTTAGGGTTTAGGGTTTAGGGTTTAGGGTTTAGGGTTTAGGGTTTAGGGGTTAGGGGTTTAGGGTTTAGGGTTTAGGGTTTAGGGTTCTTTAGGTATCAAGCAATTCTACATTAGCTTCCTTTTCTATGGATGAAAACTAGTAAATACGAAACAACTGATTCGAAAGTCTTATATTCCATTAACATAAACTAAAGCAAGCAGAACTCCTGCGAAAACTATTGGACCATACGATTATGCACCACTAATCTTATATTCTGAATCATCAGACATACTCACGGACAATGCTTGGCGACCAAGCAAAGAAAGATCCCTTCAGAAAACCCCAATATAACTCCTTAAATGCTAACTCTTCGAAACTCTGACAGAACTCGTACAAAAATGAAAAAATAAATACGAGACCCCAGCGAAGAGGCCCCCGGAACCCTAAACCCTAAACCCAATAACTCCCCAAAACCTGGATGAGCGTCCCCAGCTCCTTCAGGAAAACAAGACTAAGTAGGTCGAGGTAGGGCTTTTGGGCTTGAGGTTTAGGGTTAGGGTTAGGGTTAGGGCTTAAGGCTTAGGGTTAAGGGTTAAGGGTTAAGGCTTAAGGGTTTAGGGTTCAGGGTTTAGGGTTTAGGATTTAGGGTTTAGGGTTTAGGGTTTTAGGCAAGGAACCCAGGTGCTGCTCCCGCAAGTTCTGCAGAAAGCCATCGTCGTAGATGCGGAAGTTGAGGTGCTGTATCTTCCTATATGGTCAGATATTGGCGGTATGGAGGGGTTTAGGCTTTAGGGTTTGGGGTTTAGGGCTTCCGAAACTAGGGGGTACCTTATTGGGCTCCTCATTATCAGGGAGTTCCATTTTGGGGTCTATATTAGGTCCCTTATTTTCGTATTACTTCTATATGGTCAGATCTACAACTACGGTCCGGTTTGGTGAGGTGTCCGAAATAATTCAGCGGGCCATACTGCAACAGGGATCGCAAAAAGCGACCTCCCCACTTAGGGAACTGGCCGCATGCTTGCGGTCAAGGGCTCGTGGGACTTGGGGACGTGCACGCTTTACGTCTGCTTGGAGGTCCATGCGTAGTTGTAAGAAAGGTTGTATGAAGGACAACGATGGTTCTAATTGGCTCTAACGTGTAGGTATGTATAACCCTAATAAACAGACCCATGAACCTTGAAGTAGGGATGAAGATCCTTGCGGCTTGGGCATCTTGCGCTCTAGCACTTACCACTTGGGGAGTCGCACGGCTTTAGGGTTCTGGAAACTCTAAACCCCACCTTAGACCCTAAACCCTGAACCCAAAATCCTGAACCCTAGACCCTAAACCCTAAGCCCTAAACCCTAAACCGACAGCAACCCTCAACTCCTGGGGTCCCTGGTTTCCTTTGGCCCGTGCCAATCCTAAGCTAGAGTAAAGTTTGAGATTCAGGGGTTTAGGGTTTAGGGTTCAGGGTTTAGGGTTTAGGGTTTAGGGTTTAGGGTTTAGGGTTTAGGGTTTAGGGTTTAGGGTTTAGGGTTTAGGGTTTAGGGTTTAGGGTTTAGGGTTTAGGGTTTAGGGCTTAGGGTTTAGGGTTTAGGGTCTATATAGGGTTTAGGGTTTAGGGTTTAGGGTTTAGGGTTTAGGGTTTAGGGTTTAGGGTTTAGGGTTTAGGGTTTAGGGTTTTTAGGGTTGGGTTTAGGGTTTAGGGTTTAGGGTTTAGGTTTAAGGGTTTAAGCGTTAAGTGTTTAAGGGTTTACAGGTCTCAGGGTTTAGGGGTTTAAGGGTTAAGGGTTTAAGGGTTTAAGGGTTTAAGGGTTTAAGGGTTTAAGGTTTAAGGGTTTAAGGGTTTAAGGGTTTAAGGGTTTTAGGGGTTTAGGGGTTAAAGGGTTTGGGGGGGGGGGGGGGTGAGGGCTGAGGATTCAGGATCTGGATCTGCTACTGGCGGCTACACCAGGTGTCTTCGCAGCCCCTACACCGGAACCCTAAACCCTAAGCCCTAAACCCTAAACCCTTAGCCCTAAACCCTAAACCCGAAACCCTAAACCCCAAACCCTAAACCCAAACGCTTCTTTCCAGAGTCAAGGCACAGGTTGTCGATGACCTGAGCACTGCGTAGCATCGTTGTGACAACAGAGTACAACCTTCTAGCCTGAAAGGGTTCAGGGGCTCAACGAAACATCAAAACACTAAAACCCCAAAACCCCAACAGGCTCCAGGGGACCCTAAACCCTAAACCCTGAACCCTAAACCCTAAACCCTAAACCCTAAACCCTAAACCCTAGACCCTAAACCCTAAACCCTAAACCGCCATTATCGGGCCATAGGCTAACCGAATCCTGGAGCGTCGGGCCTCTGGGAGCCTTCGGTGTCTGCAGGTTCTCGAGCTCAAGAAGCCCCAGAAAAACGAGAAACCAACCCCAAAGCCCCTAAACCAGGAGGGTTTTGGTTTTTGGGGTTTAGGGTTTAGGGTTTTGGGTATTGGAATTTAGGGTTTAGGGTTTAGGGGTTTAGGGTTTAGGGATTTAGGAGTTTCGGGGTTACACGAAGCCCTGAATCTGCGAAAGCCCTCCAGGTTTCCTGAAACCAACGCTGAAGCTGCAAACTGTCGATCTTGAGGCCACGGCGAAGAAGTAAGTGTTGTGGTCCTTGGGGTCATGGGTTTCGGGTTTAGCGTGTAGGGTTTAGGGTTTAGGGTTTAGGTTTAGGGTTTAGGGTTTAGGGTTTACGGATTAGGGTTTAGGGTTTAGGGTTTAGGGTTTAGGGTTTGGCAGCTGCAGATGTTTGGGAAGGCGCAGGGGGCTGTAGGGGTTTCGCGCCCGGGGCTTCATGGCAAGAAACCCCGCGTCTCCAAAGCCACCAAGCCCTGAAACCCTCAACCTTAAACCCGAAGCCCTAAGCCCCAAGCCCTAAACCCAAACCCTTAACCCTAAACCCTGAAAGCCCAACCACTGGACCCCTTGAACCCCGGAAACGTCAACCCTGAGCCCTCAAACCTCAAACCCTAAACCTTAAGCCCTGAAGCCGCCACCCTAAACCTAATCTGAACCCCTAAACCCCGGCAACCTACCCTAAACCCTAAACCCGAAACCCTAAACCCTAAACCCTGAACCCCGGAAACCTCAACCCTGCACTCCTCCCAGGTGGGCTCCAGCGTGTCGTAGCACGTGGAAGTCCTCCGGGGAGCGACATTTGGTTTTAGGGCTTAGGCCCCAAAATGGTTTAGGGTTTAGGGTTTAGGGTTGAAGGTATCATAAAGCCCCAAAAACTCAGACGCTCAAGGTGTTTCTGGGGTCTTCGGCGCAAATATACACCTGATAGCTTGCCAAACCCTAAACCCTAAACCCCTACGCCCCCTAAACCCCGGCAACCACACAAGGGCCCCGCGCCTGAGCGTTCGCTCTGCGAAACCCCCAAGGTCGACCGTGATGTACCTCCGGAGAGGTTCAACTGTAGCTTCAAGGTTAGGGTTCAGGGTTCAGGGTTCAGGGTTCAGGGTTCAGGGTTTAGGGTTTAGGGTTTAGGGTCAGGGTTTAGGATGTAGGGTTTAGGGTTTGGGGCTATCGAGTTATGGGTTTGGGGCCGAAAGCCTGAACCCCTACATCCAACCACCCCGAACGCCGCTTCTGCGGCACGGATCGTTGGTCTTGTTGCCTGTAAGGATCGAGGCCATCCTCGGCGGGGCTTTGGGCTTAAGGGGGCTTAGGGCTTGGGGCTTGGGGCTTGGGGCTTGGGGCTTGGGGCTTGGGGCTTGGGGCTTGGGGCTTGGGGCTTGGGGCTTGGGGCTTGGGGCTTACCTATGAGGCCCTAAACCCTGGCGGGTCCACAAGGGACCCGCGCAAAAGTATGGCCCCACCAGCAAACATGAGTTGCAGGATTCCCGTCACAGCGTTTAGTGTTCAGAAATGACGCCTTTCTGCTCCCCCAACGCACCTTGTCAAGACCAGGCCTGCTGGAGCAAAGTGCCCTTGAACCAGGCACCGATTAGACCATAGACGTCATCATGATTGGACCATGGATGCCCTCTTCTCAGAACGGATTAGACCATGGGCGTCATCATGATTGGGCCATGGAAGCTTTCTTCTCAGAACGGATTCGAGGGCCATGGATGCTCTCTTCTCAGAACGGATTAGACCATGGACGTCATCATGGTTGGGCCATGGCAGAACGGATTAAACCATGGGCGTCATCATGGTTGGGTCATGGATGCTCTCTTCTCACAACCGATTAGACGATCTTGTTTCTGCGCCAAGTATTGTGAAGAAACGTGTTATTTAGACCCAGGGCTGGGCAGAAGCGGATGCAAGCAGAAGGGGCCTTAGTTTCGCACACGACGAAAGTGTGAAGCAGTGCAGAAAACCCCACAAATACCAGTGTAGTTTATGGATGCGTTTAAAAAAAAACCATGGAAACTTCAACAAAAAATCGGGGATAAGGTAATGGCCGGAAGCAACGAAACAGTGGTATTTGCGGGGGAGTCTGAACCAGGTAATTCAGAACTGTGCAAAAAGCGTGGGTCCCTTATGGCCCCGAATAGCCCGAAACCCTAAACCCTAAACCCTAAACCAAGAGCCCTGATGGCACGAACCCCAAGCTGCAGCCCTCAACTTCATGACGCCCCAAAAGTCCCTCGACCCGAAAGGGAGAAAAATCGTTGGGATGTTCTGGGGCTTAGGGCTTAGGGTTTAGGGTTTAAGGCTTAGGGCTTAGGGTTTAGGGTTTAGGGCTTAAGGTTTAGGGTTTAGGGTTTAGGGTTTAGGGTTTAGGGTTTAGGGTTTAGGGTTTATGGTTTCGGGCTTAGGGCTTAGGGCTTAAGGTTTAGGGTTTAGGGTTTAGGGCTTAGGGTTTAGAGGTTTTAGGGTTTAGGGTTTAGGGCTCTGGCTTGCAAGGAACGGTTCACCGGTGCAGGCCAAGCAGCTTCCACTCCGTCCCGATCAGACCAGTTGCTCCTGCAGGGAGAGCTCCAAGTTTAGGGTTTAGGGTTTAAGGTTTAGGGTTTAAGGTTTAGGGTTTAGGGTTTAGGGTTTAGGGTTCAGGGAGTTTCAAGATGCTAAGACGCTGAGGTCTTCAGACCCGATCATAAGGCTTTAATTTACACCGTGGTTCAGATCTACGTTTTACATACACCCCAAATCGACCCCCAATCCTGATGTGTCCTTGCGGCACTAATGGTTGAACCTTTGCGGGTTGTACTACAACACTTCACCGAACGGGTAAAGTAACACGCCAGCTGATGCTAGTCCGGACCTACTCAGCTACCTCAAGCACATGCAAAGGACCGAGCCCTCGACTCCGACAACGTAGACAAACCTTGTAGGATTTAGGGGTTAGGGTTTCAGGTTTAAGGTTTAGGGTTTAGGGTAGGGTTTAGGGTTTTAGGGGCCGATCGACGCTCAGCTGGTACAATTAAATTATGTTGCGGTCGCAGTTGCAATTCATGATTCCGCATCAGCAACGACTGGGCAGGGAGCACAGGTCCCCGACGCCTCACGGATGAAGGGCCTCCCCATCATGCAATCCGGCCAGATACTTCACCCCTCCGTCACTCGGAGTGGTGGTATGTGTCTTAGGCTGCCCCCAGCGGACGCGTTGGCGCATAGCTCCGCTGTCATACGCCACGACCAAGGGCGCGTTGGCCTCAAGGGCAGCCAGATGCTTACCGGAAGCAGGGCAGCTCCACACCAGGCCACCGGTGTGGAGGGAGGCAGCTAGATGTGGCCTTTGCCTCCCTCTGGGTAGAGCAGACAAGACTCCTCCAGCAAACATGAAAGGGGGCAAATCAAGCCGGTGCCCCGGCGTGATCCATGTGCTCCAAAACTCCCTCCCGTATCGCCGCAGGCACTCACTCATGGACTCTCGGGATCTCCGCAATGCGCCTGGGTGGGTGCCAGAGAACGAAGGTGCGTGATGATATTCGCGTGACCGCTTTGGGCAGAGCTCACGGGTCGGAACAGCCCTGAGCCTGAACCCCACGAGGCCTTGCTGTAACTGGCCTCAGGCTCGAGTTGCGAAGTCTTTGGGAGCCCACTGCATAGCGTGTGCAAGCACACATTGCGATGTAGTTACTATCATCCCTAACAGGCACGCCCTATGTATATCTGTATATACATATCTATATACAGATATATATATATATATATATACATATACATACATACATACATACATACATACATACATACATACATACATACATACATACATACATACATACATACATACATACATACATACATACATACATCAATACACCTACATACACTCACTGACATGTTTTAAGGAAGGCTATGCACAGTCAACTGTAGCCATGAGCACCCTACCTCATGTCATCCAGGCGTGCTCATGCCCTGAGCGCAGGCAACAGGCTCCGGATCTATTGGAAGGATAGGCGAAGGCACCACAAGTCGCAGGAGGGATTTCCAAATCTTTCAGCTCAGAGGCTTCGGGCTAAGGCTTTAAAGGTTTATGGTTTCAAGGTTTAGGTGCCCAGGTCCTTTGACGGTGATCTTTAGGCAGCCTTTCGGCATCGGATTCCTGCAAAGGCCATGGGGCTTCAGCAAATGACATCGCTGGCGTGCAAGCCCACATACGATGCCAAAAGCATGTCTTCTCGCCCTTCACTTCTCCTTCTCCCCCCTACCAGACTAAATGCCTGAAAGAGCCCCCAAAAAAACAGGGTAGGGTACCCCTAATATATCCCAAAAGACGAGAATCCTGCTTGTAGGAAGCCAATACACACGAATTTTCGTAAGCACAAGACCCAAGCAGTCAAGTCTCCCCAGATCGAAACTGAACGGCATGTCACGCATGGGAATCACGATGCGGTTTGGCAGAACCATCCACGGCCCCATGGTACCTGGGGGGAGGCGCAGAACTTAAGAGCATAAGGGGAAAAAATAGGGTAGGGTACCCCGAATATACACCAAAAGACGAGAATAGGAACCTCAATATGCCCGAATTTTCGTAAAACCATTCCTAAACCGGCGTCTGTAAGACTTCGAGACTTCGGGTTCCGTTGCAGAGTTGAGAGCTCAACTTGTAGAGGGCAAGCTCGCTTCTGGAGGGGTGATGGGGGCTCATGGCTCAGGGCTTTCATTCCTGGACCAGGAAAGCCCTGCTAAGACGAAAGCCCCCCGAAGACTCCACTAAAACCCTCCTGCGCCCCCTTAACCCTAAACCCTAAAACCTAAATCGGCCGATTAAGGCCGAGCAGCCGTTGATGGCCGAGCAGATGGCATCCTCCACCTCAAGGTGCAGGGAGGCGTTTCGAGGTTTAGGGGGGTTCCGGGGCTGCGGCTTTGGGGTTTAGGGTTTAGGGTTTAGGGCTTAGGGTTTAGGGTTTAGGGTTTAGAGTTTAGGGGTTAGTGTTCGGGGTTTAGGGTCTTAGTTACAGTTCCAAACTTACAGCATCACAGGGTTCAGTGAGGGATTCGGGCCCCAGAAACTGAATCAACTGGCCGCTTCAACCTTGCACCTTTACGTAGCAACTCCTAAACCCTAAACCCTAAACCCTAAGCCCTAAGCCCCAAACCCTAAACCCTAAACCCTAAACCTTAAACCCTAAACCCTAAACTCTAAACCCTAAACCCTAAACCCTAAACCCTAACCTCCAAACACGTGGGGTTTGTGGGTTTGGGGATGCCTCAGAACTCAAGCTGCGCCCCCTCTTCTTGAACCGTGAACCTGGGGATGTTTCCGCTTATACGAACAGTCCTTAATGGGGGTTTAGGGTTTAGGGCTTAGGGTTTAGGGCTTAGGGCTTAGGGCTTAGGGCTTAGGGCTTAGGGCTTAGGGCTTAGGGCTTAGGGCTTAGGTTTAGGGTTTAGGGTTTAGGGTTTAGGGTTTAGGGTTTAGGGTTTAGGGTTTAGGGTTTAGGGTTTAGGGTTTAGGGTTTAGGCTTTAGGCTTTAGGCATTAGGCTTGAGGCTTTAGGCTTTAGGCTTTAGGGTTTAGGGTTTAGGGTTTAGGGTTTAAGGGATTCTAAGTGCTGGCCAGCAGCGATCGTGGAACTCATGCCAGACCTCTTTTGGAGGCTGGCGTTTTGGGGATTTTGGGTTGAGGGTTTGGGGTTTAGGGTTTAGGGTTTAGGGTTTTAGGGTTATTTGGGGTTTAGGGTTTAGGGTTAGAGACCTCTTTTGCCACAGGGGCGCGGCTTTGCTGTGGCGGGCGATCGTGGGGCGTTTTAGGGTTTTGGGGTTGAGGGCTTAGGGTTTAGAGTCTAGGGTTTAGGGTTTTAGGGCTGTTTAGGGCTTAGGGCTTAGGGCTAGAGAATGAGTTGCTGCTTCTAAGATCAAGGGCTTCGGGCTTGTATTACCGGGGTTTGGCGTTTCATGCCGGTGCAGATGGAAGAGTTTTCTGGTGGTTTGCAGGCTCGTACAGAAGGCTTGAGGTTGAGGACGTGGCATTGGTCAACGGCTGTTCATGCGCCATGAACCCCACAATATCACTGCCCCAGTCGATGAAGCTGTCTGCAACAGCAAAAGACCCTAAACCCTAAACCCTAAGGGTTTGCAGTGGGTGGGTATCCAGAAGGTTCGAAGTGGGTTCTAGACCTGGGCACGTTGATCCGGCGAAGCACGAGCAAGAGGAGCCCATGAAATCTGAAGTGGGGGTTTACGAACATATGGGACTCCCTTATAACAAGGACCCCAAGAAGGTACCCCGAATTTCGGAAGCCCCTAAGTCGGGTGACCATGACTGGTTGAAGTCCATGCCAATGTAGGGATCCTCCTCTGCCTGTGCGCTCGCAGTGGTTGCTTGAAGCTAAACCCTAAACCCCAAACCCTAAACAACAATCACGACTCGACAAAGGCTAGGCATAGGCCCAAGGCCCTAACAAAGGGTATAGGTGCACTCAAAGCTTGCAATTATCATTCTTTACTCTTTATTGCTTACAGGACCGGATAACCCTACAAGTGTAGTCCTTTTTGGCTGCCCCGGTGGGAAAATGACGGTGATGCTCGTCCGTCGGCGTAAACTTGCAATCCTTCAGTGCGTGGCCTTCCATAACGGTCGAACATCCAGCCTCTCTAGAGGCCCGAAACCTAACCCCCAGCGATTCTTCAGGCCGTTCACCCGGTGCGCAGCTCAACCACCAGCCCCTCCAGAGACCCGAAACCTCGCCCGCAGCTCGACCCCCTCTACGTAGCGTGGATGCGATGTGTATGGTGCGTGCGGTGTGCGAGCTGTGTGTGTGCGTGTGTGTGCGGCGTGGTGTATGCGATGTGTGTGATGCGCATGGTGTCTGTGTGTGTGGTATGTGATGCATATTGTCTGCGACATCTGTGTCTGTGTCCGTGTCTATGTGTGTCTCCGTGTAACTCGGTCTCTCAGTGTCTCCCTGCGTCTCCCTGCGTCTCTCTGTGTCTCTCTGTCTTTTTCTTCTGCGGGGCTTGAGGGGCGCACGCGCCCCCCCACGATGCGCGGCCGGATGGTCTCAGAGTCTGTGTCTCGCTCTCTGTGTCTCTGCGTGTCTCTCTGTGTGTCTCTCTGTGTGTCTCTCTGTGTGTCTCTCTGTGTGTCTGTCTGTGAGTTTGTGCGTCTGTCTGTGTGTCTGTCTCTGTCTGTCTGTTTGTCGTGCAAAACCTCCACAACACCGGACCTTGCCGAGAATACCCAACCGATGATTCATGCCGAGAGTCTAGCTCTGTGTCCAGAACGTCTCGAGCATGCATAAACGCCTTGGGATGAGAGGCCTCAACCTAACAGCCCAGCCCCGCAAAAAAAAACCCTCGCATCAACCTGACCCTAAGAACCCTGAAAACCCAATAAGCCCTAAAGCCCTCAAAAACCCTAAAACCCGGCGCTCCCAGCCACTGAGGGCTGGTGGCTTGCAATCAGAGAGGCATTCGGGGGATCATGGAGCGAAGTGTCTAAGGTGGGAAGCATGGGCACTGAGCATCATCCCTTACCCTTGTTTAAAGGGTTTTAAAGGGATCCGAGGTATGGGCTCTTACTATGTAGTGTATATAGAGAGAGAGAAAGTGCCACCGGAAAAGCACCTGAGGGTTCAGGGTTCAGGGTTCAGGGTTCAGGGTTCAGGGTTTAGGGTTTAGGGTTTAGGGTTTAGGGTTTAGGGTTTAGGGTTTAGGGTTTAGGGTTTAGGGTTTGGGGTTTGGGGTTTGGGGTTTAGTGTTGACGCCCCAAACACAGGAACCTCCAGATCAAGAGGGCCAAAACAAAGCCTTCGTGGGGTCCCTTCTGACCGTCCCTGTATGACCTGCACCCGTCGGAGGCCAAAGAAGCCCTCCAAGGCCATGACATATGCCTTGTCTCTGAATCATCCTGGAGCCTCAAAGAAGCCGTGCTGGGCATGAACGTCCTTTCCGTAGTCCATTTTTGCAGTCAAGGCTTGGGGTTTAGGGTTTAGGGAGCCCAACCCTAAACCTTAAACCCTAAACCCTAAACCCTAAACCCTAAACCACCCTTTTTCAATGGAACTTAGATACTCTGAAGTTGCAAGCGCAGCGGCATTTCCCATGTACATGCAGATCGCGTTAAAAAACGGCGGCTCGGGCACCTGTTTGGGGTTTGGGATTTGGGATTCAGGGTTTTTGGGGGTTTAGGGTTTAGGGTTTAGGGTTTAGGGTTTAGGGTTTAGGGTTTAGGGTTTAGGGTTTAGGGTTTAGGGTCTCGGGCTTGGTCATGTCGGGCCTGCGGGAAAGGGGCCGAAGCCCTCACCCCCGCCTGTGGGGTGGAGGTTCGGAGGCAGGCCGCCTCTCTATTCCTGAAGCTAGCTTAGCATCCCTGGTGAGATTTCGTTTAGGGCTTGTGTTTTTGGGGTTTAGGGTTTAGGGTTTAGGGTTTATTTAGGGTTTAGGGTTTAGGGTTTAGGGTTTAGGGTTTAGGGTTTAGGGTTTAGGGTTTAGGGTTTAGGGTTTAGGGTTTAGGGTTTAGGGTTTAGGGTTTAGGGTTTAGGGTTTAGGGTTTAGGGCGTCTTGCGGTAGCTGTCTGGGTCTGGGGTGAAGAGCACGTCTGCGAGCGCAGCCTACACCCCAAAACCCTAAACGCTGCACAGCCAAACGACACGAACCCATAAACCCCAAACCCTACAGCCCCTCAACCCTAAACCTTAAACTCTGCACGCCCTGAACCCCAAAACCCCGAACTGCTCGGCGTGATTCGAACAACAACAATACGAGGAGTAGTACCAGCATCGCCGCAGCAACAACAATGATGACAGCAGCAGTAATGCCAGTCGTAACACTGATGATACTGCTAGTATCCTTTGTGTAACTCCCGGCGACTATAGAAAGAGAGTAGCTATAGCGGTTATGTATGTGCATGTATGTCGACTTGGCACTTACATCCTGACCCCCTCGGCTCGCGCCTTGCCGCAGAAGCTGAGGTACAGGGTACAACCCAACTGCCTCTCACTGTCATCATCTAGACATCAGGGTTTAGGGTTTGGGGTTTAGGGTTATGTGTATGCGCGTGTAGGAATATGAATGAACTGAGGGAGCGAGAGAGGGAGGGAGAGAGGGAGCGAGAGAACGAAGGAGGGAAAGAGACGGCGAGAAAGAGACAGAGAGCGAGAGACAGAGAGCAAGAGACGGAGAGAAAGAGGCAGACACTGAGACTGAGAGTGAGGGAAAGAAAGAGGGAGACAGAGAGGGAAAGCGAGAGGGAAGAGAGGGAAAGAGGGGGAAAGCGAATCAGAGAGAGAGAGAGAGCGAGAGAATAAGATCAATAATAACATAAGGGAGAGAGAGTGGGGAGATAGAGAGAGAAAAAAAGAGAGAGCCTGCACAGAGAGACAGAGGGAGAGGGAGTTTGGGTTCATCCTTTGAGTCTGGGCGGATGCCCAATCCTAAAGCTCCAAACACAAACCGCCAAACCCTAAACCCTGAAACCCTAAACCCTAAACCCTAAACCCTAAACCCTAAACCCTAAACCCTGAACCCAGCAAAGCCCCAAATGCCGAATCCTAAATGGACCTCGCAGACTATGCCTTTCGCCGAGCCGCATGGCGGGAAGCTCCAGCGTCCCGAGCTTACCTCAATAGGGTTTAGGGTTAAGGGTTTGGGGTTTAGGGTTTAGGGTTTAGGGTTTAGGGTTTAGGGTTTAGGGTTTAGGGTTTAGGGTTTAGGGTTTAGGGTTTAGGGTTTAGGGTTTAGGGTTTAGGGTTTAGGGTTAGGGTTTAGGGTTTAGGGCTGGCAGAGGTGTAGGGTTTCGAGTGTCCATGCGTAGGTGTTCGGCCTGGGGTGGAAAGTCTAAGGAGCAAGGTTCAGTGTCCGTAAGGCTTCGAGTTCTTGGTCGCCTGCACACCGCAATTGCGGGGGCTGTAGGGGTTTAGAGCTTAGGGCTTCGGGCTTAGAGCTTCGGGTTTAGGGTTTCGGGTTTAGGGTTCAGGGTTTAGGGTTTAGGGTTTCGGGTTTGGGTTTCGGGTTTCGGGTTTCGGGTTTCGGGTTGGGGCTTCATTCCGCGCCGGAGTGCATGTCACCGTGATCGTCGGTTTCGCGTGCCAGTGCAGGTGGAACTTCACATCCATGAACGAGCCCATCCCTGCATCCTGCGAGCGGCAAGAGGGTTTAGGGTTGAGGGTTTAGTGTTTAGGGTTTAGGGTTTAGGGTTTAGGGCTAACATAGGGGCCTGAATAAATCGAATATGGTGTTGGTACAATCATAAAGGGACCAGGGAATACTATCAGTACCTATTCCGACCCCTATATTAACTCCTAAGCCTTTGAGACCCTAAGCCTCTCACGTGAACCCAGCCTTGCCAAAGTAGGACCCTAAACCCTAAACCCTAAACCCTAAACCCTAAACCCTAAACCCTAAACCCAAACCTACAGACCTCGCAAGAACCCCTGGCAGAGGCTCAGGAATGCTATGGGACCCTATACTACCCCGGTTCGGCTGTCGGGCTTTTTGGGTTCAGACTTGAGAAGCTTCGGGTTCAGCTTTGGTTGTACATATGTTTAGGGTTTGGGTTTAGGGTTTACGGTTTAGGGTTTAGGGGTTCCGGGCTTTGGCTGTCTAGGGACCCCTCAACACAAAACCCTGCAGCAAGGCAGGCGCTTGTCCTGGAGCACGATCGCCTGAAGGGAACAGGGCCGAGTGGCAAAGCATATGGTGTACCCAGCAACGAAGGGTTTAGAGCTTAGGGTTTAGGGTTCAGGGTATAAAGGTCATGCCCCCATGAGCTTCAAACACCCAGCCTCGCCAACCTCCGGGGGCACAGCACCCAGGTCGCATTCCACAGTGATCGGGGCAACGAAAGACAGCCTGGTGGAGCCGCACACCCCCCTAAACCCTAAACCCTAAACCCTGAACCCTGAACCCTGAACCCTAAACCCTAAACCCGAAATATAACAGCAGGGCTTTGGGAGTGTGCTTGACGGGTGGTTCAAGGTTTTGGCTTTAGCCGGGGTTAGGGGTGGTGTGCTTCGGACAGTCAACCCTGCAGCCCAACACCCTTGTTCCTGGCCACGAGAAGCGGTTGCCACTGAGTTGAAGCTACACGAACCCCAAACCCCGGACCCTAAACCCTAAATCCCAAATCCAAAACCATGAGGCCCAAACCCCAGATGGTTTTAGGGTTTTAGGATTTTAGGGTTTTGGGGTTTGGGGTGTCTAGGCTTGGTTTAGGGTGTAGGGGCTTTAGGGTTTCAGGCGTTTGGGAAGCGCTGCAGAATGCAGTGAGCTGAAGATGCCAGAAACGAGATCTATGCAAAGTGCCAACAGCCTTGCCGAAGACAGTAACACCCTCAACCCCCACCCCAAGCAAACCCCAGACCAAACGAAACCCTAAACCCTAAACCCTAAACCCTAAACCCTAAACCCTAAACCCTAAACCCTAAACCCTAAACCCAAACCCTAAACCCTCCATCCTGAAGTCTGCACGCAAAGTCCCAGAATTGACTTTTGAGGATTTGGGGGTTTGGGGGCCCAGGTTACAGGGTGGATGATGAGGGTTCAGGGTTCAGGATGTAGGGTTTAGGGTTTAGGGATTTTAGGGATTTTAGGGATTTTAGGGTTGGGCGTTTAGGGTTTTTAGGGTTTAGGGCGTTTAGGGATTTCAGGGTTTTTAGGGCTTTTAGGGCTTTTAGGGTTTTTAGGAGTTTTGGGGTTTTAGGGTTTTTAGGGTTTAGGGACACCAGGCAGCTTGTTGTGCAGCTTCGGGGTGAGAATGTCCTCTGGGCAGCAAGCAGGAGGAAGAAAAGGGCCTCTGAGGGTCTTAGCTTGGGATGTTTCTCCTTATGCTAACAGTCCTCAATGTGGGTTTAAGGCTTACGGTGTACGGTTTAGCGTTTAGGGTTTAGGTTTTGAGGGATTACGGTTTGGGTTTAGGGTTTAGGGTTTAGGGGATTGTAGTACCCCCTATTGCATTCCCCATTAAGGACTGTTAGTATAAGGGGGAACATCCCAAGGCTTCAAGGTCTTAGAATTCCAGAGCTTTGGTTGCAGGGTGTCTACTGCTTGCTTAAGACCCCCAAAAATATAAACATATCCTTCCTTATAAGGATAAAAAGGTATTGTTATCTTTAGGGGCCTGAATAATTGTAATGAGTCTTGGGGTGACATTCACACAAAAAATGTGCAAAGGGACAATAAGGGAATGCTATGCGTAACTATTCCCACCCCTATCTTGCACGGTTTAGGGGGCGTTTATGGGGTCACCCGGTTCTCCCAAACGGGCCCCATACCGTTTGCCCCGGACCACTTCTGTTGTGTGAGCGCGAGGCGACAGAGGGGGAGTCGAGGCGCAGACAGGCCATCGAAATGCGAGAAACTTCGCAAGCTGTTGGGGTTCAGGGTTTGCTTGGAATTTCAGGGTTTGGGGTTTAGGATTTAGGGTAGTTTAGGATTTAGGGTTTAGGATTTAGGGTTTAGGGTTTAGGGTTTAGGGTTTAGGGTTTAGGGTTTAGGGTTTGGGGCTGAGGGTTTAGGGCTCAGGGTGTTAGGGTGTTAGGGTGTTCGGGTTCAAGTGCTTGCGGGTGAACCCCAAAATTCTAGTGTGATGGTCCCTCATGGCATCGGAGATCTCCGGGCCGACGACCTCAGCTCTCTGTGCGTTTAGAGGGTTTAGGGGTTAAGGGTTTGGGGTTTAGGGTTTAGGGTTCAGGGTTTAGGGTTTAGGGTTTAGGGTTTAGGGTTTAGAGTTTAGGGTTCCCTGCATCCACCGTACGAGTAGGAGGCTGGAAACCGGAGTTTGTGGGTTTAGAGTTTGAGGGGTTAGGGCGCATAGTAACCCAAGTATGACTGCACCTACTACCCCGTTATAACCATATTCGGGCACTTAAGGGGCCTTTAAGTGGGTTATCAGTACAGTTGTAATTGGGTTATAAGTACCATGAACCTCCAAGCGTGGCTTCCGGTTCAGGGTTTAGGGTTTAGGGTTTAGGGTTTAGGGTTTAGGGTTTAGGGTTTAGGGTTTAGGGTTTAGGGTTTAGGGTTTAGGGTTGAGGGTTTAGGGTTGAGGGTTTAAGGTGCAGGGTTTAGGGTAAGCGGGCATGTTGGTTCTCCTGTATTGGAGAACTCCCTTATCGTCGCGTTGCGGGCAACCCTGAAACCCAAAGCCCAGACCCTGAACCCTGCACCCCAAACCCTACACCCTGCACCTTAAATCCTAAACCCTAAACCCTAAACCCTCAACCCTAAACCCTAAAACCCTAAAACCCTAAACCCTAAACCCTAAACTAAAGACAAGAGACGGGCCATATCAGCTGAAGGAAAAAGTTGGTCCAGTCGGCACCGATCGGAAGGTGAATCGGCTTGGCTTCCAGCTTCTGGCCGCAAGGGGCTCAGGGTTCTAGGAGTGCTTCGGTGGGTTTAGGGTTTAGGGTTTAGGGTTTAGGGTTTAGGGTTTAGGGTTTAGGGTTTAGGGTTTAGGGTTTAGGGTTTAGGGTTTAGGGTTTAGGGTTTAGGGTTTAGGGTTTAGGGATGAGGGCTTAGGGTTTAGGGTTTAGGGCTTAAGGTTTAGGATTTACGGTTTCAAGGGCTTGGGGTGGTTTAGGGTCTTGGATGCACGGCTACATATTTGTTTGCCCAGAAGCAGGACGCTCGAGGGTTTCGTGCTTCGGAGAGGCCCAAAACTGCAGAACCCCCAGCTTCTCAGAAAAGGAACAAGCACACTAAGCCCCAAAACCCTAAACCCTAAACCCTAAGCCCCAAAAAACCCTAAACCCTAAACCCTCAACCCCAAACAACCAAGAAACAAAAAGAAAACGGGCCTGGCCTGGACCATCTCCTGCAGAGTTTTCTCGCGGTTCGGGGCGTCGACGGCCTGGCTTTGCTTGGGGCTTCCTTTGGAGTTTATCGGGGTGAAGCTGGGATGTTCCCCCACATACGGACAGTCCTTAACAGAGATTATAATAAGCTGGTACTTTAATCCCCATTAAGGACTGTCAGCATAAGGAGAAACACTTCAATGCTGAGCGGATTCAGGTCTTGGGGATTATAGCGTGTTCGGGTTGAAAGTTCAGGGGTTTAGGGTCTAGGGTTTAGGGTTTAGGGTTTAGGGTTTCGGGTTTAGGGTTTAGGGTTTTGGGTTTTGGGTTTTGGGTTTTGGGATTTAGGGTGCAGGGTTTAGGGTTTAGGGTTTAGGGCTTAGGGTTTAGGGTTCCGCCCCCGGGGGACAGTCGAAGCCGATCTGGGCCCTTTGTACACGGCCTCAAGCTTTTAAAAGAGCTCTCCCCAGGCAGCCAGGGGGGCCATGATTGATCTTGGGTCTTAGGCGACGCACGAAGAACTTGACCATGTCGTGTGCCTCTCAAACAGCGGCTTGATCACTACGCCATGACACTTAAGCCCTAAACCCCTAAACCCCTAACCGCCTGAATCCTCTGAACCCTAAACACCTTAACCCCTAGACGCAAAACCCCTAAACCCCCAAACCCCTACATCCCTAATCCCTAAACCTCTTAGCCCTTAAACCCCTGAACCCCTTAAACCTCAACCCTAAACCCCTCAACCCTCCCTAAAACCCCCCCGACTCCTAAACCCTAAATCCCTTAACCCCTTAACCCCTAAACCCTAAACCCCTAAACCCCTCAGCCCCCAACCCCTAAACCCCTTAACCCCCTAAACCCCTGAACCCTGAACCCCTTAAACCCTAAACCCTAAACCCCTGCACCCCTAAACCCCCTAAACCCCTAAACCCCAAACTTTGACATCCTTCCCCCCCTGGCAGCTGCTTCTGGGGCAGCCTACATCCCAAACCCTAAACCCTACAGGTTAGGGGCTAGCGGACAGGAATTTTAAGGCCGATAGCCCTGAACCCGAAACCTTCCTGAAAAGTGCTGAATTCCTTGCCTGGAAGTTTCCCACAATCTCCTGGAAGGCTCTGAGGCAGGTTTGGGAAATCAGAAGTTTTGCCCTAAACCCTAAACCCTTAACCCTGAGCCCTAAACCCTTGACCCTAACCCCTAACCCTAAACCCTAAACCCTAAACCCTAAACCCTAAACCCTAAACCCTAAACCGCTACAGCTCCCCGAATCGAGCCAAACTAGGGCCTTGCCAAAGGCATCTGGGGTTGTGTGGGAGGTGACGTGAGATCCTCTCGAAGACTGCAACACTTCCCTTTCTAGCCGCAATACAAAGATCATTCCTGAAGGAACTTTGGAGTTCATCGTCACGAAATGACACGTAGTTTGGGATGCCCCCCCCTTATACTAACAGCCCCTAATAGGGATTCCCATAGGGGGTACTATAATCCGTATCAAGGACAGGTAGTATAAGGGGGAACATCCCGACCCTAAACCCTAAACTCTAGACCCTAAGCCCTAAGCCTAAACCCTAAACCCTAAAGGGAGCTGTAGAAGATGGGTGTTGCTAGAGGATTCAGAGTTTAGCGAGTCTGGAGCTTCGGGCCTAGAAGGCAAAGGGTTAGGGTTTAGGGTTTGGGGTTTGGGGTTTGGGGTTTGGGGTTTAGGGTTTAGGGTTTGGGGTTTAGGGTTTGGGGTTTAGGGCTTGGGGCTTAGGGCTTGGGGTTTGGGGTTTAGGAGGGTCTCCTGGCCCATAAACCGAGAGATCTCCGGCCAGAGGCGATCTTTCAGCTCCTCAGAGGCAGATGAATCGCCGCGTTCCAGCGGGGATGAGGATCTGACGGGATGTCGGGCACTGGGTGCAGGGTCTCGGGTTTAAGGGGGTTTAGGTTGGGATGTTCCGCCTTAGACCAACAGTCCTCAGTAGGGATTACAAAGGAGGGTACTGGAATGCATCATAAGGACTGCTAGTACAAGGGGGAACATCCCAAAGTTTAAGGAGGCACGTCTACTCAGTGAGCGCATCCTCCTCTGCTCAGGGTACGGGAGTGGCCGGAACAGCCACCCTGCACGCGGATCACGTGAACCCATGAGCCCGAAACCCAAACCCTGAAACCCCAGGGCCTTGAACCAGGGTTTAGGGTTGAGGGGTTTAGGGTTTAGGGTTTAGGGTTTAGGGCTTAGGGCTTAGGGCTTAGGGCTTAGGGCTTAGGGCTTAGGGCTTAGGGCTTAGGGCTTAGGGTTCAGATCCCAAAACCGAACCTGCATGGCCGCCGTTTGGGAAGTGTTGGTCTTGCTTGCCCGTATGTCACCTAGCTGTATCTAGCCGATGAGTAAACCCTAAACCCTAAACCCTAAACCCCAAACCCCAAAACCCTGACTGAGGCCGCCCAGCAGCCACGAGCCAGAAGGGCCTTTCCTTTTGGGCCCGCAGCTGCATCGGCGACCCGAAGGCGAAGTTGGGATTGGACGCCGAGTGCCACCTAGTCTTGAGAGGCCAAGGTTTGGTTTAGGGTTTAGGGTTAGGCTTTAGGGCTTAAGCCGGGCTTAAGCCGGGCTTAGGGTTTAGGGTGTAGGGTTTAGAGTTTAGGGTTTAGGCTTTAGGCTTTAGGCTTTAGGCTTTAGGCTTTAGGCTTTAGGCTTTGGGGCTTAAGCCGGTCTTCGGGTTTCGGGTTTAGGGTTTAGAGTTTAGGGTTTAGGGCCCCGGGTTTAGGGTTAGTTCAATAGTTACCCTAATCTCTCAACCCTAAACTGGCCCTAAACCCTAAACAGGAAGGCAGACAAACCCAGAATCCACCCTAGCACTGGGGCGGACGCCTTGTCAAAACATCAGGCAGGGGAGGGTTTAGGATTCTCGGCATCCCTCGGACATCCCCACGTAAAATGCTTGCAAGCTGGAACGTGATGAACCCTAAACCCTAAACCCTAAACCCTAAACCCTAAACCCTAAACCCTAAACCCTAAACCCTGATGAACGTGCAGCTCGGGCCACGTCGTCTGCGACGCCTTATTTCTCGGAGAGCTGCGCTTTACGTGCCTGCCTGGGTACCTAAAGATCCTCCTAAACCCTAAACCCCAAAACCCTAAACCCCAAAACCCTAAACCCCAAAACCCTAAACCCTAAACCCTAAACCCTAAACCCTAAACCCTAAACCCTAAACCCCAAAACCCTAAACCCTAAACCCAGTTAGGGGCAGCTTATGGGTGCTTGGCAAGTTTATGGCCCCGGTTTTGGATCCTTCTTCTTATGCGGCACCTACTCTTTAGGGTACCCCAAAAGGGATAACCGGATAAACCCTAAACCCTAAACCCAAAAGGGATCATGACTTTGGTAACCACCCTTATGGGCGTTAACCAAAGAGATTCCCAAGGTCTTGCCTTTCTGCGATGCAAAAAAGGTTCATGTTTGTAGACGTTTCCAACTCCGAGGCGGAAGTTTGCACCCGAGTGCTTCACTACAAAAGGTTTAGGGTTTAGGGCTTAGGGTTCAGGGTTTAGGGTTTAGGGTTTAAGGTTTAAGGTTTAGGGATTAGGGTTTGGGGTTCAGGGTTTAGGGTTTGGGGTACAGGAGGTTTGAGTGGGCTGAGGGTTTGAGAGTGAGAGGCTTGCGCTGGTTTTGGCCTTGAGAGTTCTCAGAGTTGCCAAGTAGGAATCGACTTGCCATGGTCATCTTGAAAAGGTGCGCACTGACACCCTTGAAGCCTTTGGACCTTTCAGGTTTAGGGTTTAGGTTTAGGGGTTCAGGGGATTGGTGGCTTAGGGTCCGAAACCCTAAACCCTAAACCCTAAACCCTAAACCCTAAACCCTAAACCCTAAACCCTAAACTGCGGCCGAGTTCACTGGGCTTCTGGGCGCGCCCACATACGACGCAGCGCCATGGTACGACGTCACGGAGGGGACGTACCTATATCAAGACCGTTTCACGTGCCGAGACGATTTCGGACCTCCGAACCCCTGGAAAATACCTTTAACCCCGGAAAGGTGCCCCAGGCCCGAAAATGAACCCAGCGTTTTCGGATTTGGAATTCGGGCTCCAGACTCATCCAACAAGTAGCAGCAAACTCCAATCTTTGGAAAAGGGGGTCCTAGACGCCTTGGCGTGTAGTAGGGCAGTGGAATCCCTGCCAAAGAAGCGAGGTTGACAGGGCGTTTGCGGGTTTAGAGGCTTTAGGGCGCGGATCCCGATGCCCCCCGAAGCAGGCGCCGAGGCGCGACGGGGCCGGGCTCGACCGCACCGAGGCCGTCAGGGAACGGCATGGCTGAGGGGGCGCCTGGAGGTTGACCTTTGGTAGCCCAGTAACCATCTTATCATAAAGGGCACCCTGTTTGGGGTCGGTTACTTTCTCTAAGGGAACCCAGAACCCAAAAAAAGGGTAAAGGGTACCACTGGGCTACCAAGTGACAATTGGGTTGACGACCACAGGGCTCACCAAGGGCTTGACCACAGGGCCTGCCACTCCGCCTCGCCGTGCTTTGTTTGCCCTAAACCCTAAACCCTAAACCCTAAACCCTAAACCCTAAACCCTAAACCCTAAACCGGGGCGTTTTCGGGTTCTTATGGCTTTTTGGGGGGGCTTTTGGGGCTTTTGAATTGGGCTTCTTTGAGGGCTCATTGCGGGTTGAGGGTTTAGAAGGCTTTCATCGGCTTGAGACCTGTGCCTTTCTTGGCACATCTGGTCCAGGGCGCCAAGTGTGGTTTGTTGGGTCAGCTTAGGGTTTGAGATGTCGGCTGCGTCTCAGACCCCTATCGCAAAAGCCAGTGGACCATGATACAGTTTCTAAGTTTTGGGGAACCCTAAACCTAAACCCTAAACCCTAAACCCCGAAAAACCGCAAGCATCTCAGGCCCTGAGGTTCACCAGGCCTTGCGCAAGCGGGACACTGGGAGGCGGCTGTTGCCTTGATACGTGCACTCGAGCACTGTGGGCTGGTGTTTCAAACCCTGAACCCGAGGCCCTAAACCCAAAAGAGCTTCCACAGCTGTATCCCTCAGTCCTCACGAGAAAACCTCGCTTCCTTGAGAAGCGGCTATGCTGGCCTATGCTGACCGCACCTCAACATGCCCAACATGTCCAGCATGTCCAAGGCCGGGGCAGTACGCGCACTGGTCCAGGGCGAACCAGTGGCATGGACCCAGTCGGCGCAGGCATGGGCGAGACTCCATACCTCCGTGCTCCGAGATGCAGGGGGCATCACAGGATTTGGGTCTCAGGTGTGGGCTTGTGGGCTTTCGGCTTCGGGCATGGTGCTTAGGACGCCGGCACGGCTCCCACAATGCTTGCCCACTGCGAGGTCCACTTATGCGAGAAGCACCCGCGGGGAGGTCTCACAACCCGAACAGTGTTCAGGTTTGGGTTTAGGGTTTTTAGGGTTTTTAGGGTTTTTAGGGTTTTTAGGGTTTTTGGGGTTTTTGGGGTTTTTAGGGTTTAGGGTTTAGGGTTTAGGGGTTAGGGTTTAGGGTTTAGGGTTTAGGGTTTAGGGTTTAGATGGGTTTAGGGTTTGGGGTCTAGGGTTTAGGGTTTAGGGTTTAGGGTTTAGGGTTTAGGGCTTAGGGTTTAGGTAGGGTTTAGGGGGCGTAATTGCTACCCTGCCCTGGCTGAGAACGAACCCGGGGGGGGGGGGGGGCTGCAGCTATTGCTTGTGGGCTTAGCGTGGGGCCGGTTTCAGGTGAGAATGCCTTCTTTGAGATACGATCCTCCAGAAACGCTTAGAGCACAAACTGGGGACCATCAACAGGCTCACATTCGAAGCTTGAACTCCACCCTTCAGGACTTCTGAAGCTTGCACTGACACATACATATTTTCCGCCCAGTGCCCACGACAGATCAATCCCAGCAGCCCTAACCCCTTAGGGTTTCGGGTTTAGGGTTGAGAGTTTAGGGTTTAGGGTTCTTAAACCACCAAAGCTGCAGACTTAACCCTGAACCGTAAGACCTAAAGCCGCTTAACTCGAAGGGTAGTTACATGGTCCCTTAAAACGGCCCCTCACCTTTGTTAAAGGGAACTGAGGCAGGGGCCCTTGCAACAACCCTGACCCTAAACCCTAAACCCTAAACCCTAAACCCTAAACCCTAAACCCTAATTAAACCCAGACCCCAAACCCTCAACAACCCTAAACCCTAACCCCTAAGACTAAAGCTAAGCTTGAGAAGCAGCGACCTGCCTGACCACGGGAGGCGCTGCGCCATAGCGCACTGGCATGGGGGACTGCGCCTCCCAGCTGGTCGGGTGTCACAGGGCTTAGGGTTTAGGATTTCGGGTCTTAAATTTAGTGGGTGTATTAGGAAAACTACCCTTCACACAGGCCACCAGCCACCCAGCACGCCGCGACAAATTCCGAAGAAGGCCCCCGTTGCAGTCGACAAACAATTCATCGTGCAGGCTTGCGAGGTTTGTGGCAATTCAACGTCCACAGGTCAGACAGAGGCTTGCAGGCTTCGGGTGCTTGGCGGTTTATAGTACTTCTAACCCAATGAGAACTGCACCTATAAGCTACTTAAAAGCCCCTTTAAATATCCCTAGTATGGTTATAGAATTGGGGTCTTATAAGTACAGGTTAAAACTGGGTTCAGAAGTACCTTGAACCTCCAAGTACGGGCCGGTGGGCCTACCTTGGGGCTTTAGGGTGACCCCAGCAACTCCCATCTCTCGGGCCCGAAAGGTGCAGGTGGCAAGCCTTGTAGGAGTGGTTTAGAGTTCAGGGTTTGGGGTTCAGGGTTTAGGGTTTAGGGCTTAGGGCTTAGGGTTGAGGTTACGGGGGTTTAGGGTTTGTAGCATGGTCGCACGGTCCATGAGCATTCAAAGGGGTTTAGGGGAGTTCAACCCTGAACCGCAAAACGTCAGCCTTTGCAGGGACGGCCGCCATGGCGAAGAACGCAGGTACCCGAAGTGCTCAAAGGTAAAACGAAGCTTCGGGTGCCGTGGGGGTGGGGCCTTGGGTTTCATGGGAGCCTTGAAGTAGTTCAGCTTTCGCAGCTTTCGGTACATGTTCCTGATAGTAGCTGCGTCTCGAAAAAGATGGCACTGTCTACCCACAAGTTGCATGCTACGCAGGTGGCTGTTAACAACCGCGGCAGCGGGGTTGGCGGCTTGTGCGACGGCCTCGATTTGAGCATGAAAGAGCCCAGTACCCCAACACAACCTGTTGGCAGAACAGGAATACCAAACCTCAGACCCATCTCAACCGTAGAGCCCTTAAAGCCTTAATGGAACCCGCCCGTTGAGGCTGCGCCTGAGATGCTCCATGGCGACGTCACTACCACTACGTACTTTAGGGGACCCCCTGCCCAAGGTTCCCCGAGTGTAGGGTTTAGGGGTTTAGAGTTTAGGGTTTAGGGGTAGGGCCCAGAGTTCAGGGGTTCAGGTCCCGAGCGTACGGAATCCTGTGAAGACTGAACTTTCCTTCTGTTGACCTCGGGTAACATTCCGCAAATGCTTTAGGAGGCTTGTCATTGGTCTTTTGGGGTGCAGATGCCGGATGCCTGTAAGTGTAAGTCCTGGTCATCACGAACTAGATCCAACCCTGAACGCCTGAACGCTGCACCCGAAAACCCTGAATCCTAGAGGGGGTTTCCGAAATTCAGAGCAGTTTATTGGGGATCCTTATTGTAAGGGAATCCTACTACTTGGGGCTCTATATTAAGGTCCCTTATTTTCCTAAACCCCCCACGTAGGGTAGCCCCCGACTACGATAATCCCTATTATAGAAACCCTTAAGCAGGGTACTAACCCCCATATGGATATTTCCCAAAAATGGGGTTACCCCTTTTCCACCCCAAATAGAACAGAATCCCCTTGAAGGGGACCCCCAGAATGGGTACCCCTATGCTCGGAAGCCCCCAATATACAAAACCCTAAACCCTAAACCCTGAACCGCAGAAAGACAACGGAGTGCCTCGACGAAGCTCAATGGCCCCCGCGCCAGGAAGACGCCTGAGCCCTCATCGTCCCAGCCTTGGTGCGGGAATCTGGGGGACTCCAGCTTCCGAAGAGCCACGGTTTAGGGTTTAGGGTTTAGGGTTTAGGGTTTAGGGTTTAGGGTTTAGGGTTTAGGGTTTAGGGTTTAGGGTTTAGGGTTTAGGGTTTAGGGTTAGTTGGGGTTTAGGTAAACCCTAAACCCTAAACCCTAAACCCTAAACCCTAAACCCTAAACCTTGAGGATTCGAGATTTGGGGCGGGGGGGCGGCCTTGCGAAAGCTCATGTCCAATTTGGGGGGGTTGCCATGCGGGCACCTTCTCCTCTGGACACCTTAAGGTACTGGTTCCTTTTTTCATGGGTCCTGCAAAGTTCTGCCCTGCAGTGCATCAACAGGTGCACAAACCCTCAGCCTTAAACACGAAATCCTAAACCGAAACCCTAAACCCCAAACCCTAGATCCTACACCCTAAACCCTAAACCCTAAACCCTCAACCCTTGATGCGGACAGCCCCAGCTGTGGTCCTCACCTTGCGGCAGTGAGTAAGGTAGCAGAGGCCTCGGGATTCGGCGTGCCGACTGCTGAAAGGTTTAGGGTTTTGGGGGGTTTCGGGTTTAGGGTTTAGGGTTGAGGGTTTAGGGTTTAGGGTTTAGAGTTTAGGGTTAGGGTTTAGGGATGTTTAGGGTTTAGGGTTTAGGGTTTAGGGTTTAGGGTTTAAGACTTAGGGTTTGAAAACTCGCCTTACCATGCCTTTCGTCGGACTCGGATTCAGGTGTCGAGCCCTATTGTGTGATTCCCTATTTCGGATTCCACCGCTTGCTCAAGCGGATTGTAGGCTGCACCGGCATGTGGGGGCAAGGACCTTCTTTGAACTTACCGTGTCCTAAGGCCCTCATGGCCGCGCTAAACAAAAAATAAGCATCCTGGCTCGGATCGGCCACGAGATCCCTGAACTTGTATTGGCCATTCTGAGTTTCGTTTTAACTGCTACTCTTGACAAACATTAGCCGCTCTTACTATTCCTGGTAGTCGCGCTCGTGAGAAAATAAACCGTCGTTCTTAATATTGAGAACAATGCCCCATGATCAGTATGATTCTGTATGATTCCAAACAGTATGACTTAGTTGTCCAGTAACCTGGGGGAATTAAAGGTTAACCTTTGGGATCATAAGGGGATTATCCTACTACAAAAAGGTTAAAGGTTACCTACTCGACTACTAGGATTAACCATGATCAAGTATTATGAATACTGCTTGTCCAGCAGCTGGTCCACTTCGTCCTTCTCATCAAATTGGAACGCTGTCCTGATCCCGATAGGAGGATCGCTGCCCAGTTGGCAGAAGAATTCTTCAGTGTTTGGGGTTTTTGGGGTCAGGGTTTGGGGGTTTGGGCCGGGTTGGGGGTTTGGGGGTTTGGGGTTTTGGGGTTTTGGGGCTTAGGGTTTTGGGATTGGGGGGTTTGGAGTTTAGGGTGTTGGGGTTTAAGGTTTAGGGTCCAGTGCATTGCGATCATGGGGGTTAATCAGGACCTGCAAGTGGAAAAGAAACCCCATTCAGATCAACATAAGGTCCGACATAACAACTGCAGGCTGCAACGAATTCTAACCCACTCAACAATCAACATAGGCCGCGCAAAGTGCGCAGATAGGAGGCCCCTGTTCTCATGCGAGAAGCAAGCACTTGTTCTTCAAGAAAGAATTCCCCTGGGCTCACCCAGAAACACCCTGAACTCTAAACGCCATAAACTCCAACCCGTGGCTCTCTCATGCCGAGGTGAGTGAGAAGGGTCCCTAAGCGGCCCTAAAGAACATTAAGCTCTAAACCCACAACCCTTCCCCCCCGAAACCCCTAAATCCCAAACCCTAAACCCTAAACCCTAAACCCTAAACCCTAAACCCTAAACCCCCAAAACCCCAAGATTCTAAACCTCGGCGGTCCCGCTCTTCTGCTTCTCATCCTCCTCCCAGGTGAGGGCCGTGTAGTTGGAGCGATTGCCTTGGAGGTGGTGGGCAGCCGACCCTGGCCCTTCAAATCCCTGAGTTTAGGGTTTAGGGTTTAGGGTTTAGGGTTTCGGGTTTAGGGTTTGGGGTTTAGGGTTTAGGGTTTAGGGTTTAGGGTTTAGGGTTGAGGGTTGAGGGTTGAGGGTTGAGGGTTTAGAGAGATTTGCACAAGGCGATTATGGGCATCCGCTGCCTCCACTCACCGCCCTTCAAGCGCCCCAACTAATCCCAGCCTCGCATACCAACCACACATGACCCGTCAAGAGCTCACGGGGCTAAGGGTTTTTGGGGCGTTTGGGGCTTAGGGTTTAGGGTTCAGGGCTTAAGGTTATGGAATTTAGGGCTTGTGCAGCTTCCGGGTCCCAGTTTAGGTCTTGGGTTCCGGGTTTAGGGTGCAGCAATGGTCAGCGGAATGCAGCACCCGAACGAGCAAACTGCCTAAAGAGGCTCCAAAACCTTCGGGGTAATCCAATAGGCGACTATAGCTCAGCGACCCCTGGGTTTAGGGTTTAGGTTTAGGGTTGAGGGTTTAGGGTTTAAGTTTCGGGCTTAGGGATTCTGGGGCTTAGTCCTACTTACTCGAAGGCCTGCAGCCGCAGAGGCACGAGGCACAGCCGAATGCAGTGGCCCAGCATGAACCAACGAACCCCTAAAACAACGAAAGCCCTAAAGCATCCTAAAGCCTTCGCCTCTAAGTCCTAGACCCTAAACCACAAATACCACACAACCCTGGACTCGCGCAGCACTGTTGATCACCGCACTTCTTCTCATCTGCCTTCGCGCGATCCTAAATCCCCCCCACCCCAAGTAGTAAAACATGTTAGGGTTGATGGAGTTTAGGGTTTGGCTTTGGGCTTAGAAGTGCAGGGCTTCAAGAATGAAGCGAGCCCATCTTTACGCCCGGCACTCACTTCTCTGTCGGGGGGTGGTCAAAGGGTGAAGGCGTCAGGGCTTCGACGGCGGCGCGCCTGAGATGCGTGGTTTAGGGTTTAGGGTTTAGGGTTTAGGGTTTAGGGTTTAGGGTTTAGGGTTTAGGGTTTAGGGTTTGGGTCCAAGCAGCGAGGCTCAATGCGTCCAAGCGCGCATTGAAGACTGCTGTCAGCTCTGCTCGTGCTATCTGCACTCCCTGCCGCCGAAGCCGAAATCCCCATGAACCCTAAACCCTAAACCCTAAACCCCAAACCCTAAACCCTAAACCCCGAAGCCCCCCCAAAGAAAACACGAAACTAAGAGAAGACAAGGCTGCATGCCCGCGGAGTAGGCACCAAGCTTGGCGCCGCAAATGAGCCCATTGCCTCTTTGGCTTGGGGTTTCGGGTTTAGGGTTTAGGGTTTAGGGTTTAGGGTTTAGGGTTTAGGGTTTAGGGTTGAGGGTTTCGGGTTTACGGCTTAGGGTTTAGGGGTTAGGGTTTAGGGTTCATTGCCTTCTCCGGGTTTGGGTTTGGGATTTAGGGTCTGGCAGGTGGCTTCCAGACTTACTTTGCAATCATCTTCCCTCGGGCTTCTCCTAAAACGGGTTTAGGGTTTAGGGTTTATTGTTTGGGGTTTAGGGTTCAGGGTTCAGGGCTTAGGGCTGAAGGTTTTTGAGTTTAGGATTTAGGGCTCGTGACTTGCACTGCTGGCAAGGCACATGCGGCTGTCACAAGAGATGTTGCACCTGGAGTGCCGCAAGGTGAGGGTGATCTTGGGGATCAAAACTTCGATTCTCGGCCCAGCACTCACAAGGCCCGCACTTTGGGCACACAGGCGGTTTAGGGTTTAGGGCTTAGGGTTTAGAGTTTATAGGGTTTGGGGTTTAGGGTTTAGGGTGCAGGGCTAGGTTTTCGTAATTTGCCACATCACGAAGTCAGTAAAGGACCTTGCTGCCCTAGTGCCCACGTCTAGGCACTCAAACGCCATGTTCTGCCAAGGCACCTTTGGCAAAGAAGTTGCCTGAATGCTCGGGACAATT